ATGTCCTTGTCTTTAAAAGTTCTCTCCGTCTGATTTTAGCCTGGCCTCCATGTTCACATTGTTTCATCAAGGTTTCATCTTTGCCCATCTGCCATGAAGACAGCCTAACATCATTCATATTAAGTAGCAAAAGGTCCCATGATGATGTTTAAGGTTCTCGGTGACATTTTTTAGCACATTGTGGTCTACTTTTAGTGTAAACCTGCTTGGTTTTAGTCTTTATTTTATTGCTAAAGTTTATAATCTGATTTTAGATATAAAAAATTGATAAAAGATGAATGGTAGTCTAAATGTTCTGGAATGTTTCAGACTACTATAGCCCGGCCATGTTGGGACTAAAGACGGATCAGGAGGTCCTTGGGGAGCTGGTGAAGACCAAAGCCCCTGCAGTGGGACAGCTCATGGCCCAGTATCCTGGCATATGGACACTGGTGGTGTCACGCTGGTTCATCTGCCTTTACATCGACATCCTTCCAATAGAGGTAAGGATATCTGTTCGGTTAACTCCAGAGTCCAAACCAAGATCTCAGGTTGATCATCTGACTGGAATCCTCTATGTTTCTCTCGCTTCCAGACTGTTCTGAGGATCTGGGATTGCCTTTTCTACGAGGGCTCCAAGGTTCTTTTCCGAGTTGCCCTGACTCTCATCCTCCACCAGCAGACGGAGATCCTGAGGGCGCGCTCACTGCCCGACGTCTGCGAGTGCTTCAAGCAGATGACAAGTGGATCTTTCACTCTTGACTGCCACACCTTTATGCAGGTGAGCCGAGAAGGTCAAGGTTACAAATGCACCCATTAATTCATCTATATATATTCTATTCTAGCAAAGGCAATTATTTATTCTGCTATAAAATATACCCAATACAAAAAAACAATCATGTAATTTTTATCCCGCTTTTTTTTTTCTTTCTTTTTTTTTTTACAGAAAATATTCACAGAACCCGGTCGATTGTCGATGGCAACTATTGATAAACTGAGAGAGAAATACAGAAAACAAATCCAGGAGGAGGAATCCAGACAATGAAACTTGATATCTTTACTATTTTAGATAATAAAACAATGTGGGCTTCTCTGGGTGAGCATAGCACCTGCAGAATGAAAGCCTCCAGCTGCTAAATAGCTTTGTATAGATGTTGGTCTATTTCTGATGCTTTATGACACATAGTTGATTATTCTGTAATTCAGTAGATTTAGTATAAACTTTAAATCTTTTTGTCTGGAAAAACTTTCTGCTTTTCACATAATGAGATTATATATTTATTCAATAAGTATTAGAACCCCTGATGTTACTATAGTTCTTGTATCAATGCCCCATTGACAGAATAGTTAATTTGCTACCATATAGACTTCTGGTGTTTAACTTGTTGAACTGAATTAGTACAAATAATACAGCTTTACTTTGGTGCGATGACCACACACACACACACATATATATATATATATATATATATATATATACACACACCATCTGTTTCAGAAGTTAATGAAAACAGAAAAGAGATTAAGTTTTTGATTTAGTTGGTATTTAAAAGAGAAAACGTGAATCTGTAGAACCCTGTAGCTTTAACAATTAAAAACAAACTTTCACCACATCTAGTCTTCAGGGGAAAACAATGATTTCAGCAAAGCAACATGTTGATTTCTCTGTTTAGACACGTCGTTTTAAGGACTTTAAGTCCCGCTTCAAACTCATGACTTCCTCTAAGAAAGACTGTTGATTAGATAATTTAAATAAGATCTAATTATAGAGATTAAAGGGAAAAAAAACTTTTACTCAAAGGCTTGACTCAACTTATAAACTATGAGATACTGCTCTTTTATGAAACTTTGTTCTTTTTTTGAACCATGTTGAAAGAAAACACTTTTTCTGTGATGGAAATGTATGAAACCAGTATATTTATTTACTGACCCTTTGTGCACATTTCCAAGCTATACTCTTTCATTCTAATAAAAGTACACATACATCTGCCTTAATTTATCACATCAAGGACATATTGCTATTATCAGACAAATATATAAACTATCAACATTCTGATTTAGGGGAAATTGAATGAATTGGTGCATTTTTGAAAATTTTCACAAGAGTTAAGTTGTTCTTTATAACTCAAACAATGAGCCACTAACTCGATAAATGTATTTCAACATGAAATGGTCCTCATGAAAAGTGTTCTTACAATTAGTATTGAATTTTAGCAGATTTTAGAAAAAGAAAATCAGAATCAAATGTGAAAAAAGGATCAGATATGGAAATATTTCTGCAGCAATTTCTACTCCAATAACCCTTATTAAAACCGGGCTAATTGCTCTTCAGATGTGTGTAATTTAATCTTAGTAAAGAACACTATAAAGATCCTTAAATAAAGGCACCTAAAGGCTGAAGGAAACCTTAGGACAGTTTCCTTCAGCCAGGGCAAGAAGGCTGATCAGGGCAGATATAATAGAGCTAAATGGATGGAAATCTTTAGGGAAAAACTAGTTAGAGGTTTTAGAAAGAACACAAAACCAGAGCTACAAAGGTAGGGTTTAAATTTATTTAATAGGTCAGACTGGCCAGGTCAAAAGTTGGCACTTTTCTAAAGGAGGATCTATTAATTCAGACTCTCGATGCAACTGATCTGCAAACAAGCTCCACAGAAGGAGCTAACTTTTTCATGCAAATAGCTAGTTGAGACACACCTTGTAACAACTTGGAGCAGCAACAAGAGCAAAAGGCTCAACATTTTAAGTTCTTTAGAACAAAGTATACTTTTTCATTTCTGTTTGTTTAATCATAATTTTTAAGTTTTAATGTCATCTACATTTTTGGTTCTTGATATTAAATATTTTAAATCTGAAGTTTTCAATAAACATCTACAATTACAAGATGTTTAACCAATTTCTAACTCCTAAAGAACCCCGTGCATAAAACTGTTGTGTAGACATGTTGCAGTTTTCTTAGTTATAAATTGAACAAACTCAAATGACTCTAAACCCTGTGCAATGGACGCATCAATAATCTATTCTACTTCCACTTCTAGGACCTTCAAACAAGCAGGAACAGGTCTGACCTGATGAGGATGAAGGCAAAACATAAAAACACAAACAGCTTCATTCTTTCACCTTTATTGACTTCTCTTTTAAAAAACAGTTCCAACAATTCCAATAAAATATTATTTCATCACTATGTATTAAGGTGGGGAGAGCAAAAAAAAAAAAAAAAAGCATAAATAAGTATTTATTGTACCTTGAAACGATGCATGTTTTAGTTGCCGTAACAGTACATGGAGGCTATGTGAGATGTCTCCTACATGGCAGCACACTGTCTCAGTGAGGGTCTTCCTCTGTAATATTGGCTTGAACTGGATCCCACCCACCTCACAGCTGGGAAGGCACCGATCAACACAAGCGTTTGGCCATTTGGAAATCTTTTGTTCAGTGCAACATCTTTCCCTTTTAGCAAACAGAACCACAGGACCTACAAATGTTAGTGTTAAATGAAATGTAACTGGCAGACATATTCCCTTTTTAATCAAACTAACCTTTGGGAAGACCGATAAAAAAAAAAAATGGCCACCCGAGAAAAGGTGAAATAATAATCTGCTCCGATTCCATAATTCCTCTGCATTCCTTTCACAGAAATCATAAAATAGAAGAACGCAGCGTGACACCCTGATCAACATGCATCCCCTGCTTTACTGGGTACCAGTGAAGAGTTTTAATAATCTCAGTACCATCTCCCAGCAGAGTCCCTTTAGTATTGAAAGAAAGTTAGCTCAGAAAGCAGATGTCTAGTGTTACTGATGAAGGCGAAGAAGAAGAGCAAGCACACAGAGAGATAGAGGATGAAGGGACAGAGAGGGGGAAAGGTTGAGTGGTTAAATTCAGGAGTAGAGCAGCCCGCTCCAGCATCAGTGTGAGATCCATGAGCTCAGATGGTTTGGTAGCCGGCGTGGCTCCTCTTCCTGCCGATGAGGTAGGCCAAGAGTACGATGAAGACGAGTCCTGCCAGAGCTGCTCCGACTATGATGGGGATCAACATGTTATCTTCATCCAGCTGGCATTCCACAGCTGACAAGGAAACAGGCAGAATGGATCAGAGACACTTAGCAGAGGTTGTTTGCTTATATCTCACAAAATGTAAATAAAGAGTTTACCTGCTCCAAACTTATCTCCAGACACCTCAAAGGGCTGCAGCTGCACCTGGAAGGTGTTGATTGACAGGTTCTGGGACACGGTCAGGGTTTGCTCCATGCGGCACATGTAGGAGAAACCAAGAGTTCCCTGCAGGGAGTCCAGGCTGCTGTTCCTGGCAGAGAAGTTACCCACTGCAAAACAAAGGAAACAAAACACTCTGTAGAAAACCATTTCTCGTAGACTTTCTAGTGAGGTTCTAAGATGCAGGATGATCTCAAGCAACTTCAAAAATGATACCTACACAGCAGCCATAATTTTATTTTATTTTCACTTTACACTGCCACAATTATTTCAACTAAAGAAACTAAATCTACCATTTTGTTACAGCAGCTCAAAACATTATTTCCCTAGAGGGTGCCAACATTTAGTCACATTAGAACTATATATGTTCAGTCTATTTTTGGGGATTTGATGAAACAGGCACACATTAATGCAAAATTGTAAAGTAAACAGAAAGTTTCAAAATTTAAAAAATAAAAACAAAACTAGATGCAATTCAAGTAAACGACAGTGGGTTGATCACTCCTTAGTGTTTTGCAGCAGACCAGCAGCTTTGAACATTTAGAGACAGAGGTGTTTACTCCTTAAAAGATGACTCAACATTAGCTTGAGTGGATTGAGATAGTCTGCGAAGACCAGTGTTAAAGACTGGTTTATTCTTAGCTAGATTTGGCTCTAGACCTTAACTAAACCATCTAGTTTAACCATCATCATATTTCTTTGACCTGCTAGAATTCAAACCTCCACACCAATCTCTAGCCAGAATTTCTTCCATCGCTCCATGCATTAGCTTTAGCTGTGAGGACAGCTTACATGTCCATACAAGAAAAAAGCTTTTCAATAGCATCATGCTGCCACTACCATGCTTCAGAATTGATGTGCTTGCATGCCATCTATATGAAGGTTATTTTGTTGAATTTGAAGTTGTAGAGAGAGTTTTGTATTTGTAGAATTTAAATAAAAAATTAAATTAAAAATTCACAACTACATTTTTTTCATTTTTATTTTTGTTACACCTGTTCGAATTTTAAGTACAAGTACACAAAACGGCACTTGTTCTACAGGTGGCATATCAAAAACCTCTTATATTCTCAGTTTTTCTCCAAATGGTCCAGAACTATAGCTGCAAAACTATTTATGCATTGTAACTTTGGTGCTTTGTAATTGCAGATTTTTTTAATCTGTCACAATTACAACTTCACAATTACAACTTACACCTCTTGAAATTCTTGAGTACAAGTACACAAATTGTGTTCTGCGAGTTACACACCAAAAATGTCTTCAATTCAGTTCTGCTACAGTTGATCTAAAACTAATGGCACAAAACTAATTCAAACACATGTATCAAAATCTTCAAAAAATAAAATAAAAACATAAATCATATTTTTTTTTCCTTAACACAAATACAAATAATTAAATACAGCTGCACAAATCTGCTGCTGAGAGTCACAAATTCAACTTTACAAGTTATGCCTTTGTTTTCACTGTTGACACATATGTCACCAGTAAAAATTATCTTTGACTTGTGGGTAGTACCCTTGATCGGACAGCAGAGGGCGCTGCCTGCTCGATCAGTCTGTACCAACCAGAAAGGAGTACTGCCATGTTGCCTTTCAAGGACCCAGCCCATGAGAACAAAATAACCTTCATAGATCTACTATCAGCTTCTAAGTTCACTGTTGGTCTCTTAATGACTGAAGCACCTTCTACCTGTCCATTGTGTCACCTATCTGACTTATGGATTAACATTCAATCAGACTTTTAACAGCTTTCTTTGAAAATGCTTTTTCTTGCCATTCCTAAAAAAAACAACAACAAAAAAACACCGGAATTTGGTCCTCAGTGATAATCCTTTCAACATGCACCATTTAAATCTCTGAACTCTGGATGATTCAGTTTAGGATTTGTGTTTCTTTAATCTTCCTTTTACAGATGCTGGATTACATCTTTGAGATGTGAAAAACATGGGATATTCTTTAATACCCCACCCTTGATTTAAACTTCTCCACATATCTGACCTATCCATTTTGTTCCTTGTTTTTCATGATGCACTTTGTTCACTGTTGTTCTAACAAACCTCTGACACGTTCACAGAACAGATGGATTAAATTACACAGACGCAAATTGATGACTTCACCTTTATGCGCTACTTTCCTTTGTTTCAATTACATAAAATCCCAACAAACCACAATGGGGTTAAAGGATTTAACAGAAGAAACGTTTAAATGGTCTGATTAGTTTTGGAAGGCGACAGATTAAGCTGCAAATAAGCATGTAGTTATAGAGTCAACATTTAATAAAGTAAGAGCATATTTAAAAATACTGAAAAGTGAATTTGTGTGCTTTAAAAGGTTAGTCTTTAAAATTAGATTTTGTTGAACTGGATAAAAAATTGCTGAGCCACGATGGCTTAAAATCCACAATTATAAATTTAAACCAGAGTAATAATTTGAGTTCCCCTAATTCATCAATTATCTAAACAAATCTGAATCCAGATCAATTCTAACAATTTTCTGAAAGCCTAAAACATTCAAATGCAAGTATTTACAGAAAATCTAAATTTTAATCACATATCAGGACAGATACAAGGAGTTAATCAGAAATGAGGTCTTGTCAGGTAAGGAGGCTCACCTTTAGGATCGGACACAGTCGTTGTCAGAGACGCCTCACTCAGGTGGTACTTACTGGAAGTAGTATTCTGGAGAGAAAAAAAAAGGATAATATGCTCTAGCTGCCATCTAGTGGCGGGGTACAAGAAGTACAACCTTATGATATAGAATAAACTTACCAGAGTGAAGACGAAGGTCAGGGTGGTTTTATTTGCATCCGTTTTCAGCTCCAGCACAGCTCTCTCTGCTTCACAGGAGCCTGAGGCTTGTGTAACGTTGGGCTTAATGTTCACAACCTCCGTAATGATCTGTAGAGAATCAAACAGTTACAGTAAGTGACTGTCTGCAGCTTGGAGTTCCATGTAAACAAAGGCTTCAAGTCAGCACCTTCCCCTGGGAGGTGGAGTTGTAGGTGATGTTGAGCTGGAGGCCCATATAAGCCAGTAAGCAAACTGTGTTGTTGCCGTTGGTCACGTTGTACGTTCCTCTGTCAGGCCGCCCGGGGTCTGTGTGAGGCGCAGCGGTGGTTTGGGCGGGGGCCATTGTGGTAGCAGACAAAGCGGCAAAACTGTGATGCAAGACAGCAGCTGAAAACACAAAGTGGATCAAAATTTTAAAATTTTCCCCCTTTCTTTGACATAAAAAATTTTTTGTAAAAATATGCATTTAAAGTTCTTTTTTTTAAGTAAATAAATAGTTAACGTTAATCTTTAATACCGACCTCTCCGATAAGAAAACAGGCTCTAGTCATCTGTTCATCAGCTCATGGCTGCTACAGTCTCATTTATTCTCAGATAGAATTAGGTCTGAGCCCAATCAGAAGCATTTATTAAACCAAAACAAGCTGATGTTTATTATTAAACTTCACATATTTAAGTTGCTAACAATACAGCATACCCAGCCTTAGCAGATAGAATTGTTCCTTTCATTTTTCTTAAATACCGTATGAAAAACTAACAGCGGCGGTTTCCTTTAGATAAAAATATAATCATAAGTACAATTATAATACTTCAGTTGATTAAAAATACTTATTTCCAAATCATGAATCATTTTCTAATTGTTTTAGCTATGAGGATAGAAAAAAAATACAAATGAAGGTTGTTAAAATGTGAAGATTTGAAAAGAGGCTTCAGTATTGGCTATTTCAACCTCCCAAAAACCAATAAACACTTAAAAACATCATCAGGCGACTAGTGATTGTTTATTTACACAGTTCAATCAACAGCAGAAGTTATGTACAAAAACAAATGCTTTTATAACCCAAAGATTTAACTTTTTTCTGCAGTTTAACGAGCTAGTGAGGCGGTTAGTGTGCTTGTTTACTTTAAGCCATCCTCCTCACTCAGCAGCAAAAGCTAATTAGCCACAGAAACTCTGTCACAGTTTTAGAGATATTAAAAGTCTAATTATCCTTTGACTGTAAATATGGAAAGGTTAAGGTGTGCAGTTATTTTCCTGTCGCCGTTTCTGACTTACAAAAATTGCTGCATTTTAAGAGACGGTATGTTTTCCTGCCTTTAGCATTTTGTCCAAAGCCGTCCACGTGTATTTTAACATTATTCAGAAGGGCTGGGTATTTTCACCAAAGTCCTGAATCGATTGGATTTTGATTAATAAAGTTCTAAATCGATTAATTTCGATTCAATCTGTTTTTAAAATAATGAAAGTGGTTCAACTGTGTTTCAAAATACTTTTGTATTTTATTTTTTCCTGTCATATTAAACACAAAGTGCAAACTTGTAAATCAAACAGTTTAAACTTGAGATGGGAACAAAACTGTCTCAAACGTGCAAACTTGTTTGTGGAAAGTGAAAAAGTGAAGCCTCACTCGAGCGAGCAGATGTGACACAGCGGGGACACAGCAGACATGCGTGAGCTGCATTATCTTCACTGCACAAACCATATTTGCAGCGGTTTGTCTGTTCAGCCCCCATTTGTTAATGTCTTCACTCAACCTATTTGCTATATTTGCTGCTGTCTGGCTTGAAGTAATCCTGAGTACATCTTTCCTGCTCATTTGAATGTGAATGTCACGTGTGTCACTATAAAACTAATCGATATCATTCCCTAGACATCGATTTTGAAAAAATGTAAAGGAATCGATTCAAAATTGAGTAAATCGATTTTTTTACCCTGCCCTATTATTCAGTGAGAAAAACTGCAGCATCTATTTTTCTTTCCTACTGAATCCTTATGTCATGTTGCTTTTCTTATTATTTAGTTTGAGATCATGCTATGTATAAAAAAAAATACAAAATTCCTTTACATAAAGCTTTTTTTGTTTTTCCAGCAGAGGAAATAAATGTGGAGAAAACTTTATTTTTTCATTTAAAAAAAAATAAAATAAAAAGAATAAAAGTATCCCCACTCAAAAAAAACGGACCAATTCAAAATAAACTGCTTACTTTCTTTACGGCTTGACCTTTTATTTAAGTGGCTTGATATTTAGCTGTTAACAGTGAAGTCAGACTTAAATAAATTTAAAAGTTAAAAAAAAGATTATAATAATCCCTTGCATTTATTAAAATCTCTTGACTTTCAGCTCTATAGAAGAAGGTAAGCTTTCATAAAAACACAAAGAGCTTCTGTAGAGCGAAATGCAGTGCGGGCAGCTCTGGTTGTGTTGAAACCTCAGTACTGCGGTTATTTGATGCAAAGTTTCAAAACTGATCAACAGCTGCTGATAAACTCAAACATGTTACTCAATATTTTACAATAAAAATAAAAAAATAAAAAAAAAACATTAAATTCAGCCATCATACTCAAATCCTTAAAACATGCTTGCTAAGGTTTTCTGTACAATTAACACACTGCACAAATGCAGACATTTGGATACTACTTAGTGTATACGGCATAATATAAAGAAAAATAAAACAAAGGAAGACTTTAAAAAAAACAAAATTTCTACTGCGGAAAAGAAAAAAATACAAAAAAACAAAAACAAAGAGAATATCCTTTCTAATATGGAGGGGTCAAGTGTAGGGAACAGAGAATGTCACAAGTAAAAATTGTCAAACCACAGAGAGCTTAAGCTCAAGTCAACCAAACAGTGAAGTTGAAAAGAAGTTCTGCAGCAGGCTGATCCAGTTTACCCAAATATGATAACAGAAACTCAAACTGGTATTCTGGGATAAATGACAGATTGTGTTCTTAGGGGTACAGTCTGGTGGCGTGAGATGGATCTAAACAGGATGTTCCAGAGATTTATTTCGGTCAGGGGAACATGGAGCCACTGCTTGCATCTGTGACCAAAATGAGGCTCAATTTCTGACCCTGCATACAACCTTTTTTTCTCTGGCAAATTCTAGTCCCACTCTAGAATATGGCTGTGAACACAGGCCCGCCTCATGAAGTATATTTCTAAAACTCTGGCCTGAGAAATTCTTGCCAATGTCCCACTGGAGGTCACATTGTGCGCTCTAGCAGAACTCATCCATTTCCTCCTTGCACAGAGGGGCAGATACAAGTTAAGCAAAGCATACACTGTGCGATTTTTTCAATCGTTGCACGCAGCTACTGCTCACAGTGTATGACTAAACCGCAGGGTTTCGTCGTACTGTGCGAGTTCCCACTCAGGATTTATGTTCGGCCTGACGCTTTGATGAGTCTACCTGCTCACACTGTACGTCTAAAGACCACGTCGGACTCAGCTCCGCAGTGAGATGGAGCTGCTCTGACTCGTCTATCTGGGAGCCAAACAAATACAAGGGGGATCTTAAACTCACTAGAGTGGAACGCGCTGCCTTGGCGATTTGTGCAATTTTGTGCTGAAAGCCTTAAAAAGAAAAGGAGACGACATATTTGGAAAAAGACATGGCTGAGCAACTGTGGCTACTACTGTCAATATTACAGACAGAACTCCATTTCACTCATTGCACCCCCGCCATGCTTCTGTATTTACATCTGAGAGGAATAAGAAAAAAAGGAATCCTTGTTTGCGCATGCCCACTGAGCAATTTGCCCACGACGGTCAGGAGAAAATTAAACATGTTTAATTTTCTCCCGATTCCTGATCGGGACGTGGTCATGAGAGGCTGATCGCCACTCGTAACCCCCTGTACACTACACCACGCACGATTAGGCTGAAAGTTGGACAGATCGAAAAATTCTTGCACAACTGGAAAATTACCCCGAAAATCGCACAGTGTACGCCCAGCTTTAAGCTTGGGTGATTCTGTCCAGCTTGTCTGTCCCATCGCATCTCTTCGATGCTCTTGAGACTCTGCTAAGACATGAATCAGTTCTTCTGTAAATAGTACTGATCTGCTATCCTAGTTAAGTTAAACAACCTCTGTATGGTCCAATTATCACCTAATCAAAGTGACTGGTCAAATACATACCTACTTCACAGCAGGGATGCACTGAATTAATGTCGATGGAATGACACCGATCCAGGACTCTGACCAGTTCCTTCAGTTCTTTGTTTGCAATGCCGATTATTCAATCATCATGCAGAGCATGCACAGCACATACTTTATCTGTGTTTATTTGTTACGTTTTTGTTTTTGGTTAATTATACAGTTAATTCCTTCAACAGTAGGATCAGACCTGTACTGGCCGAGGCACTCAGCTAAGGTATCGTATCTGAACAAATTTGACCGATACATCTCTATGAAAAAGCAGTCGAAAAACTTTTCTTATTGGGGTCTTCACATTGGGGCCTTTATCCGTTTCTTTTATTAACACCAAAAAACATTGGCTAATAAAAGATGAATAATGGAGAACTGCAAAAATCTAATAAACTAACAGGACATTGAATTTGTGATTGAGTCAATTTTCACTTAGAAAAAAATATGATGGTGAAAAAATGTTAATGTATGATAGTGGGTTAAAGGAACGATTACCAGCACCTCATCCGATGTTATGATAAACTGCTGTATGCTCCCTACATTTCAGGGTTGGACAATTAATTAAAAGATACATTTATTTCAGAATAATAACTTAATTCTCTTTTACAGCAAATTGCAAAATACCCAGAATCGCCTTTGGTTGAATGATTCATAAAATACTTGGTTTGTAAGCCAATCTATCAAACAATCTACAGCCTCTGCAGAAGAAAAATACAAACCAAGATGTCAGTTGCATGATGGGAGGAAAAAGATAATGGAAACAATGCAGATTAAGCCCAACTAATTTGCTTAGTTAAATTAGCACTGCATAACTCTACAGAAAAACCTAGCAAAGCCAAATAATATGCAGTTCAAAATATAACATATACAAGCTAACAGGATATAGTAATAATATTTTTAACTATTAAATCACATTTGTTAAGAATGAATATTTTTATGCTACATTTCAAAGATATAAATAAATAAAGACCCCTAAAAATTTAAGAAAGTGTAGTTTTGACCCCAAGGAGATCTTAAAACATAATCTTCTCTCTGTAACAGCCCAATCATTGAATAAACGATAATGTTTAGTAAAAGTTTCAACCCAATAACATTTCTTTGTAATTTGCTATAGATGGTCAAATACTTATTCTTTGGACAATAGCAGAATTTTCCCACTGCTTTACTATCCAGTCCCAAAGCAGTGTGCATGATATACAGCTATCCTTAAAGTTTACATACCCTCCTATTAAAGAAAATTATAAATTCACACTAGTAATTCAAATAACACAAAACTGAAATAAAAAATGTACTAAATGTTAATTTTGTAAAATAAAATATTGATTTAGAATTTTAAAATATAATTTAGCTGTTTTTTTCCTGTCTTTAATAGCAAGAAATGTATGTTTAAAGGACAAGAAACTGGAAAATTTAAAGACAACGCAAGAAATGGAGGGCCTCAGCATCTATATACTTTAAAAGCCTGGAAATTGCCTACATTATTTGCTTTATTTTTCATCCAATGTTGCCTTGAAAATCACCTTTTTTGGTAATCAAATAGAACCTTGTATCTGTCAAATTGTGTTTTCTATAGATTCTTTATAGGTTTACTAACAGGACAAAACAGCATTTCTGTCTTTGTCTGCTAGTACAAAACAATCCCATTTAATGTGGTTTCCTTGTCCATTCAGATGCATAAAAAGCAGGTTCTTCATTGATTCTATGAGCCGTCTTTCCCAGAAGTCAGAAACATAAATAAGACACATTCCTCTACATAAACTCTTGTAGTAGATTGTAAATTAGTCAAATAAGGGCATTAAATGATAAAACTTTGACTATGTAAGGTATCCAGATAAAACAAGAACAAGCAAGACCTTTTTTAAAACAAGTTGGAAGAAATACTGAGTTGCTGAAAGAGAATAACAAATAAATGTCTTAATACTTCATATTATTTCCAAAAAAGAAACAATGTACAATACTAAAAAATAGAGTCATTTGACTATTCTATTGTTTGTTGAGACAGAAAATCTGATTTCATTTTTGTTTATTTTGTTCATATTGTGAAGCATTCATGTTTTCATGAGAGCCACAAAATGTTTAAAATTTATTGGATAAAGAACATGACATGTTAAATTGTTTTGACCCAAATGGATCTGGTAAACAAAAAAAATAAAAAATAAAAAATAAAAAAAATAAAAAAAAAATCAGCTGAACTTTCTATTCACTGAACAAAAATGGTATGTAGGTTAAAGGTAGCAAATTAGGATAGGGATTTATATTTGTTTTGTTTTTGAACAAAAGCTTGACATACCTCAGGACTGGAAATTCAACCTTTATAACTACTTTTTTTACCTAAACATGTCCATACAAAACAATTTCCAAATGTTTTTTAATTATCTGCATGTTTAACAAATCATTACAGGAGATTTAACACTCAGATAAGCTTTTTTGGAAAACAGGCTTACTTATGAATAATCCAAAAAAAGTCCTTTATTAAATGACTGTACACTTATCAATGGGGTTTGACAGTAACCTAGGTTTCCTACACATATATCCTTTTCAAAATTCCTGAATTAATTTTATCATTTCTATCAATCTGTTTAGGATATTTAATGTTTTCATTTTGTGTACATGTTGTTGTTGTTTGACTGCAAATCTATGCCAGAAAAAAATCTTCACCTTTAGTTTTTATTAGGGCTGCAACTAATGATTATTTTGCAAATTGATTAATCTGTCAATTATTTTTTCGATTCGATTGATTATTGGATAGCCAAAGGTTCCTTAAAGAAGATTTTTTTAATTAAATTAATCCAGGTGAAAATAAAACTTTTACACTTGAGAAATTCTGGATGGAGCAGATTGACAGACGAAATTTTCTTAATGCAAAAATGTTTACTAATATCATTAGAATTTTTTTTTTTTTTTGCAATTTTAATATAATTACTGCTCTAAGTGTATTGCTCTGTCAGGTAGAGATGTTTTAGAGTCTCTACACTCCAGTTACTGATCAATCGATTAGTTGACAATTATTTCAATAATCGATTAATCCGATTAATTGTTTCAGCTCTAGTTTAAATCTTGAAATATATTAATCAAAACATGAAAACTTTTGAGTTGGGTCTAGTAAATGCTCAAGTCGTTAAGCAATAAATCAAAGCTAAACATTGCTTGTATGGCATTCTGCAAATAAAAAAAATAATGTTTTTTGTTTTTGTAACTTAATCAAATACCTATCAATTAGTTTACACTAAACTGCAATCTACAATTCGTTGAATCTTACAAAGCCATGTTTGAAAGCATAAAGATACTCGATGTTTGAATCAAATACATTCCAGACATTGTATGTCAGGAAATTCCAAATTAGTTCATACAAAGAAAAAACACAACTTCATTTTAGGTTGTAAAATTGTTTTATTCAGAACAGAATGCAAGATATGTTTCTGCTATATGGCAAAGCATCAGCTGCAAAATTTAGCAGTGATTTTTTTAAACAATACTATAGTGCTTACATAAAGAGCTTTTTATAAGTCAACCATCAAAATGTATTCTAATCACTTAAAAGCATTTGCATTTTTACAGGATATAGGTCAAATTTTAGCCTTTTAGACAGCCTTAATTCTAATCTACATACATAATCTGGGTATAATTTGGAAGGTACGAGTTTATTTATTCATTATCGTTTATTAGTAATTTTTACATACTTGAAAACGTATTAAAAATGATTATATCAAAATCTATACTTTTCTAGTCTGACTTAAAAGAAGATGTGAAATTTGAGACGAAGCTGTCGAGGTTGAAAGTAAAAGCGTGTGATGCTGCTTCAGATGTTCACGTGACTCCATTACAGTACATTTAATGTATTAAAAAAATACTATAAACGATAACTCAGCTTACTGATATACTTTAATGCGGCTCTGAAGCATGAAATATTAGCAGGGCTAACTGGTAGCAACGTTTAAAGATAAATATCTGCACAGCTTCGGAGTTGCTAACGTTGTTTACCTGAATAAAGTCACTGTAACATAAAGAAAAGACTCACCTATAATGAGAAGGAACATCATTCCCGTCACTCTCCGTGACCGTTCGCCAAAAGGCATCATCTTTCTTCGCCGAGAAAAACTAAAATCACAGCAACAACACAACAAGCAGCTAGTTAGCAACGGTTGGCAGAGCCGTGCTAGCTAGCTAGGCTAACGTTGGTATCACAACGAAGCAAAAAAAATTAAAATAAAAAAACGGACAGGCGAAATTTATAATGCAGTGTTAGCGAGGTAATAGAAAAAATAGTTCGAGTTTAGTAGTCTAGGATTCCCTTCAGTCTGGGTAAGAAGGTCTGGAGGTCAATAAGCTCAAATTTGTCACTTTTATCAGCTCTGCTAACGCTGACTCCAGGGTCACGTGACTTTCGGTTAAGAAACAACGAGAAAGTCACGTGCTAACAGCGGCGGCGGCTTGACTTGATCTCATTTTCTTGCTGTTAAAGCAAACACTTTTATTTACTCAGTGTAACAATGACTCAGGTCATTTGACTGAGCTCAGGTTATGAAACATTTCGCAAGGGATTGAAATATATTAAGAGATCTGCATGAAGTGAAATTTCTATTCTATTAGGTTTAATTAAAATTCTATTACTTATTAGGTCAATATAAATTCATAATTTAGGAATTTTACATATTTTTGACTTAATTTAAGTTAAAATTACTGTTTTCTATAAAATCTGAATTAGAAATCAAGAAAAACTGATAATTTCAGCCATAAAAATTAGAGCAATTTGTTTTGAAAAAAACATTTAGTAAATAAAAACTGGGATCCTATCTCACTACCCTTGAAGCTATCACCTTATTGTTTTTAAATAATTAGTAAAACAGAATTCGTAAAGGAAAAACATTAAATAGATCCATAGGAGCTATCAGTAACCATGTCTGATCCAATGCATATCATCATGAGAATTTTTTTAAGTATCATGTCTTCAGGACAGGGGCCAGGACATGATCTACAGGGGTACTGACCCCCGCTGGCCCCTTTCTTGAATCGCCCATGATCAATGCACACATTCAGCGACACACAGGAGCTCTTTCAAGCTGGGCACCTTTTCATTCACAACACCTGTCCCATCAACGAGGAATCAGAAATACTCTAATAATCCCAAGGCGAAATTACTTTTGTTACATTAGAGTGACTATAGGACCAGACTGATATAACACAATTTCATACAGTATATACAATAAGGGCATCCCTGCTCCATCTCACCATCAGTTTGGGGGTCCTTGGAATTAAAAACGTTCAAAAAACCTGTTGTATGGGATCAAATGCTGATCCTGAGACAGTTTACAGGTATGGTTTGAATTAACTTTAGGTTAAGGTTATGTTTAGAAATATAGAGGCATTAGTTACAGTTGGGCTAAATATTGGGGTCAGACATATGTATGCAAAAATAAAATGAATGTAAGTCAGTGTTAAGTCTTAATATGGATAGCAGCTTCCTACAAATGATTGTGGACTCCTGATGTTTTATTAGATATACTTTTTCAGCTATTTGTATGTAGGAAACCAGCAAACATTGCAGTTAACATTGCATGTAAGCAACTAGATGTGGTGAGACTTGCTGAAATTTAATGAGTAGTACAACCAGGATGAAAATTAGATTATAGGGGTTTTGAACATGGCTGTTTAAGGGAGAAGTTCTGATAAATTATTTCAGCAACCCCTGAGCTACTGGGATATTTACTTACAGCCATCAGTCTGGTTTATAGAGATTAAGCCTGGAAAGGAGAAGAAATCCAGGGACCAATGGTTGCATGAACGTCTACCCTGCTGATGTCAGGAGGAAAAGGGGGCCGATTCAAGGTGATGGAAAAGAAGCAGCTAGGAACGTAACTCATAATATCATAACATTAATCACCGTACATCAAAAATGTCAACACTTCAAACAGTAATAGAAAAAACACACCTGCATGCTATTTACATGACCATTTACATTTACAAAAAAACAAGAAGCTTCAGTTTACACAGACACACCCCAAATTAGACAATAAGAATGTAAAGATTATTCCTGGTCAAGTGAGTCAGTATCAAATAAACATTTTTTAAACACTACAGCCATTCTGTGTTGTTCCCAAACATATCCATCCCACTGCCAATGTCTTAAAGCACCATTTCACAAAACTCCAGTGATCACTAATGCCAACTTTAAGGTCAAAAGTCCAAAAAAAGCACCATTTCCCCCCTGCTAGCTACCAATGTGTCTGCAATGATTGTGGGTTGCTGCTTTATAAGAATCGCGCAAAATATTTGAAACATGTTTTAGAGAACTTTGTGAATGTATGCCACAAAGAATTATGGGAGTTCTGAAGGCAAAATAGGCTCCAACTAGGTACCAACAGGTTACGGTTAATAAAGTGATGATTGGATGAATGGTGATGATTCTTTATGATTGGTTTAAGGCTCTCATAATACAAAAAGTTCAGACTCAGTATCGATATCTGGGAAAGTATTCAACGCTCTATACCATTTTCAATGCCTTCAATGGTGACTGCATAAGAATACATCATACAGCTAAAGGAGTCGCCAGAAGATTAATATTCTAGCTCTTAAATAAGTTTGCATCTCTGAGTGACACAGACCCCAGGTATGATGCTACCACCACCATGCTCGACCACAAGTACAGCTTTCTTACATTTGAAACATCTGAATTGATTTTTACAAACATTGTTTTCATCACTGAGACCAAATTGCTCAAGGTTTGTTTCATCAGGCCAGAAACCTCTTCAATCAAATGTGTTTGTCTTGTTTATCTTATGTTGGATTTTCATCATGTTGGAAAGGGACCTTGAATTTCCAACATTTCAGTTTATGGCTAGTTTAAGACTTTGTGACTCCTGAGTATTTTATCTGATTAATTGACTTTCCTCTGCCATTCAGATAGTATAATCACATTTAACATGATAATGACTGTTGGATTAATTATGTATAAGATATATAATGTTTGTTCTTATGATGTATAATGTGTGACATATTACTGCTCCCAAACAGGTGTTGCACAAGCAGTATAGGTCAACTCTCAGGAAGTATTGCTCAAGCTTAACGAAACCAGCCGTTCTCGGAACATTTGACCGCAAGATATTTAAATGCTCTACCTTTGACCTGTTCACTGAAACTGCAAATTGAATTGTCTATCTTGTTTCCTTTAGTGCAGCACTCAGGTATGTAACTAGGGAATGCCCTGACTTTAATAAATTGTGAGGAGAAAGCTGAGACCGGCAGAGTGGGTTGGAGATTGTAACTGCACGTTCTCTTCCTACTCTCTTCGCGTCAGAATTCTGACTCTGTGCCTTTCTTTCCTTGTCTTACAGTATTTTAGGTGTTTGAACCTGATAATGACACATCCACACACACCTCCAAACTACGGTAATTTGGAAAGGGATTTACAGAGTAATGTTGCTAAAATTGCTAAATAAATTTGATTATATAGATTAGATTCTGTTCATTTATATTTTATTTAACATTGCTCACACTCAGTCCAAAAACCAAATGAATCCCAGCTAATGAATTTGAAGTCCTCAGTGGTATCATGCTTGTGCTTAGAACAAATACCTTTTTTGTTAAATTGTTGGATTTTGTTTTCTCTTTTTTCTATTGGGTTTGATAAATAATGTAAAATCTTGGAAGTGTGTTCTGTTCTAAAGTTAAACTCAGTCAAGAGTCTTTGAACGAGTTAAACACTGGCACTTAAGTTGATTCTCCATGCTGTGCAGTCAAAGCCAGGCTCACTAATCTGCCTGCGGCTTGTTCAACAGTTTCCCTCAAGTGCACGAATCAGTAAGACTGTTCCGCCTCCGAAAGGCTTTGGAAGGATGCAGAAGTCTTATCTCTGTTTCCCCTTTCCCCTATAGAGACCCACTAACATTTAACTAAAGGAAACATATGTACTGACCTTTAGAGTTACATATGTTAAAGCAGCATTGCATTCGGGTGCTTCTTGTCTCCTTGCAGGTCTCCTTTTTACTTTTATGTGCTTTCTAAATGCTTACAGGACCATTGGCAATTTTTTTTTTTGTTGAAGCCTTTTAAAACTAAATGAAACACAAACTGTTGACTGTAATTGCCTCTTTTACCTTTCAATTGAATAAATCCGATTCTTTTCTTTGTGTGAGCGACAATGTAATAGCTTTTATTTTCCTTTATAAAACAAAGCTAAACGCAACTATTATGTTTTAGAACTATTTTATTCTTTAACATGGATGAACTTTTTGTATAATTGAAATTTATGTAAAGAGAAAACATGAGGAGGTGATTCACTCCATCTTGCAACCTAATAGTTTTTGTTTTTGTTCAGAAGTGTCCAGAAGTAGTTTGAGACTATATGCCAAATACAGCAGTAGGACATTGTTACACAATTTACACTGTTAATTTGGTAAATAATGCAAATTATAAAAGAAAAGATGTCAGTTGAGACCCTCAAGGCGGCTTCATTTAGTCTAAAAGTACTGAAGCAGATCAGATGAGCAGCGCAGAGCAGGCGTGATGTGAAGTGGGCGTTGAAGGTTGCAACAAAGCTTTATAATCTAAACCACGCTGTCTGAGTCCACTGGCAGGTCGTCATCCAGCCACTTCCTCTCAGCAGAGAGATCAGAGAGCACTGTGAGGCAGCTCATAGCAGCTTGAGAAAAAGATCAGTTTGGCGTCTAGAAACAGCCATGGATGCGCTGATAACAGGGGTGGTCGTGCTCTTCTCTCTTTTTATGCCCGTTCGTTGTTCAGGTGAGTGAAATACTTACAAATATTTTCTTAAACTCCATGTTCTGATTTGTTGTGTTTCATTATAAAGAACCATTTTTTTTAGATAAAGCCATTAGTTTGTATTGAGGCAGTTAGGTTACATGGAATTTAAACTTTCATTTTGTTTTAAAGATTGTTTCTTTAAACAAGCTGGTTCTACAGCAATAGTCTGAGTAGTCTGCATTAGCTTTGTGGTAAATATCCGGTCAACAGAAATGAACACTTAAAACATTAAATTATTTATGTTTTTTTTTTTTTTTTGTTACTTTTTTTGTGCAAAAAGTCTTTTTGTTTTTGTGTGTTTAAGATTTGTTTTACAAAGGATGTCAAATTCCAGGATAACAAATGAAAACCCACAGAAATATTATTAGATGCTCTTTTCTCTGATAATCCAAAATTAATTTTGGTCAAAATTAAAATTTTTCATTTCATTACTTTGAGTATAATCTCTTAGAAATCAAAAGTCAGTTAAAGATGTTATAGATGATGTTGTTGGTTCATGGGAAGAATTTTTTTTCTGATCTGGTTATAATTTATATTTCTCCACATTAAAAGATTTAAATTAGGACAAAAAGGAAAAAAAAGTATGCTTTCAAATCAAGATATCCTGGTTTAGTTTACTGTAATCAAAGTTTTCATTATTTAACTATAAAGAGTTTAATCCAAACAAACAAAAATGTCATCTTTATGTAGTTTGGTAAATATTGTATTTTTTATCTAGCAAAAATATGCAAATTTCAAAATACCTTTAAATTAAACTGCTTCACTGGGAAAAAGAGAAAAATAATCTTCACTGTATGGTAACAAGCCTCATTGAATTATTTATTTTTTATAGTGTTTAAAGATTTTATTTTACACCTTAGAGAAATATTACCAGAAACAAAAAACAAACCTTATGTCCTTTGTAAATCATCTTCAGTTTATAGGGGCTTTATGATTTTAAATAACATTTGTTGAATATTTTGCTTTGGAAGCAAGGCCATTAAAGATATGGGTCTTCTTGGCAGGGTTTTATGGGTTGATACCAGAAAGCATCAGCTGTCCGTAAAAACAGACAAACACAAGGCCAAAGCAATAAATACTTTCATCTGTGCGCATATGAGTAGTCTATGAGGACGACATTCACCACGCCACATTAAGTTATATTTCCGCTTTATTTCTGATGGTACTGAATTTATCTGTTCCCTCAAAATTTTAAAGGCAATACCTTATTATCACTGAGTGGAAAACGTTTTTTTTTAGATCATTGCAAATTTATTACAAATAGAGGACTAAGACATCCCATTTATGCAACTCTCTTCGGCCAGTGCAATTAAGCTCTAAATTAATCTGAGGTGTATATTGTTTCCACTGATCATCCTTAAGTTTTTTCTAAGGCTTAAATTGAGTCCACTTGTATAAATTTGTGTAGTTGGACAAGGAAAGGCACATAGTGTAATGGCTCAGAAAGTAGGACCCAGAATTCAGGCAAGACGCACAGTGAATTACCCAAGAAGTGTTTATTCAAACAACAACGGATCGACTCTGCAGTGGCAGTGGCTGCAGCGGCTAGGGCGTTTGAGGCAGGAACACAGGTTAGTTAATACGATAATCTGACGGAGGATTATTATGAGCACTTGAGTCACTGACCTGGTTTGACAGTTCAGTCTGTGCCCAGAGAATGAGGGTGAATCCAGCTAGTCGACTGGCAAGGCGCAGCAGAGAGTTCAAGATGCTGAAGCCTTGAAAGCTGCAGAGCTGACAGGAAATCAGATCCAAGAAGATGAAAGAAGGCAAGATGATCCACAGGGTAAAGTCAAGAGGCAGATCCAAGTTCAGTCCACAGAACAGTCCGACAGGTGTCGAAAGACAGACCAGGCAAACAGATCAGACAGGGGCAGGCAGGCTCAAAAGTCCAAATACAGAAACATATCAGACAATCAGAACACTATATTAACGGTAGAGAACTCTCAACACCAAAGGGTCAAGAGTAATCTGGCACTGATGGCTGGAAAACAGACAGCTTAAATACGAAACTGGAACAGGTAGATCTGATGAGTGATGAGGAACAGGGCAGAGGTAGACAGGTGAATGAAAGGAGTAATCAAGCCAGCCAACCGCGCCAAAACCATGACACACACCCATATGTATAACATGCCACAGAGAAGTCAAAGGAAATATCTGTAGTCCTCTGGGATAGGATTTTCTTGATGCATGGATCTGGGGAAGGATACAGAAACACTTCAGCCATTTTGAAGTCTTAATTTACACAGTGGCCCCCTTCATTTAAAAATAGAAAAAGTTTGGAAAAAGGGTTTGCTATAAGGCTCCTGAAAAACTCTTAGACCATGAAAATACAAAATTATCTGGTCTGATGAAGCAATGACTGAACACTTTCGTGTTAATGAAGAATGACTGCGTATTATTGGGTAAATTGACTATTTAAATATGTGTTTACAGTGGTATAGATTAAATGAATATACAGTGCTTTGAAAAAATAATGTCACCCAATTTTCTTATCCCCCTAAGTGAAATCACGTGCAATAAACAACCTTTAGAAGAGTCAAGTTTTTTTTGTCTGTTGTTCGAGAAATTAAGGTAACAAAGAGCATCATGAAGTTGAATGGTTTTAAACAGGATTAGACTTTCAATTTTTAATCCATCATCTAAAAATGAGGAAGGTGTAACATGATTTAAAATCCAGGGAGGAAATCAGGACCATCAATAGTTACAGGAGCTGCAACATGTTGGCTGTAATAAAGTCACAATAATTGCATGGCCTCACCATCATAGACTTTGTCCCTGTTCATGGACATTTGAGGGAGATTACATTTTGCCTGGAATTTCAGGACCGCTAAAGACCTACTGAGTCAAAGCTGCCCACATAAACTGGGTGGAAGGGTCTAGGCAGAGAAGCAGCCAAGAGGCTGTTTGAGCTGCTCAGTTTTTACAAATGTGTTCCACAAACCTGGCAGCTTTGTGGAAGTGGAGCAAAAGAATAGCAACGCTTGATTTTTGTCTAAAGCTGTCAAGGTTGGGTGGAAGGTTTTTGAGCACCCAAATACAGACATGATTTTTGCTGATTTAATTAGATTCCCACAGGCAACTGAGGCAAATTTCAAAAATCAAAAACACTGAAAACCAAAAAAGCACGAAACATCATGGAAAAACACACAAGGGGAGCGAAGAGATGACGAAGCAACAAATCAACAACAAACCAGCAACGAGAATAGGTAGGGTATATATGGGGAGTAGAACAAAGAATGGGCTAATGTGCTGATATGGAGCAGGTGTGAATAGAGCTAACTAAAGGGAGCCAAGGGAAAGGGAACAGGCACAAGGGGGCAACAGACAGAAAGTAACTCAAGAAATACAAAACTGACAGAAATCAACTACAGAGAACCAAAATTACAAAGAAACTAAAAATAAACCTAAACAGAGGGAAGAACCCAGACAAAGGCTATGTTGAGGGCACATTGAACTTGCACCAAGTGGGTGGTAATACTATAGTACCAGTTTGGCTTGTCATGGTCTTACTAGTGTGCTATTGCTGGGGCATAACAGATAGGAGGAAGAGATAGTTTTCTTTAGCATAGATAGGTCAGAACTGATGGGAAGATGGATGGAGCCATATGAATGGAAGAATTCCCTTTTTATTTTATATACATCCATACATAAATACATCTTTTAATGAAGAAAAATGTGTCTGTTACAAAAAGTTTTTACAATCCGCATCTGAAAGGTAATAGGCCGAAGCACCCATTTTGTAAATGCCTTTTCCTTAACAACCAAGAAAAAAGAATATAATCATAATAATCAAATTAAAAAAATTGAATATCCCAATATGAGAGTATTTTGTTCTCAAATGATCTTAATTTACAGCTGGCAACATAAGCACTTATTATTTTAATTTTTTTACTATATCCTGGAATAAAAATACTTATAATAAATAATAAATAATAAAATATATAATAAAATACTTCAGAAGATTCAAGCAAAATGTGTATCTTCATTCACAAATGTGTACTACTTCTTGTGGGTATGACATCAACTCCCAAAGAAACGGTTCAGTTTTTGAAGTGGAAACATATCTTAAGTATTTAAAAACATTTTGTTCTGGACTTCTGTCTGCTAAAATAACCCAAGACTTTGTAATGGAAACATAGTACAAACTTCAAAAATATAATTTACTGAAAAGTAAGTGAAACCTATGGTACATATACAAAGAAGATGCGGCATAACTGTGCCATCCTGAAATAGTGCTTAACACGATGGATGAGTAATACAGAGCTGTAAGAAAGTATTTCAGTTCTTCTGTGTTTTTGTTTATTAAAAAACATTTTAGAATCAATGAAAACACAAGCACAAAATGCTGTGTTCAAAGAATGATTTACTTAGATAAATATAGTATTTAGATAAATTACTAGAATCCAGCCAAAATATGTTACCCTACGGGGTAGGTTTGAATAATTTCTAAGCATTTGGTGCTTTTAAAATCTACAGGGAGAAAGATTATCCACAAATGGGGAACACACTCCACTGCAATGAAGCTTCGAACAAGCATTCAGTCTACCAAAACTACTCTTAAAGCGCAGCAGCAAATCATCTAGGATCAGGCCTCACTTTTCTAAGTTAAGGTTAGACCTGACATGGTGGTTTGATCCCCAGGATGATTGGGGGAAGTACTCAAACGTGAAACAGCTTAAAAGTGTATGTTATCTCTACTGCAAGGCTAAAAACCAGTCTATTTACCCATAATTATTAGAGTGGTGGTAGTGTGGATGGTATTGTGCTTTTTTACTGCCCTGGGAACTGGTAAAGTTATTCTACTCTCTAGCAGATAACCCTTAGGAACAATGTTCAACCATCACAGATGGATAATCCCTTAGCTATCCTGCAGGACAATTATCTAATGCACACCAAAAGCTGCATCTCTGAATAACAGCTGCCTAAAAAAGTCAAAACTCAAACCTGTTGAGGTGCTTTGGTGTCATGTTTAACTGGCAGTTCATACAAAACAGAAGAAAAAAAAAACTTTCCAATGTGGTCAAAGTAAGAGATGAAAATTCAACCACAGTGACGTAAACGATTCACTGACAGGTCTTACAAACATCTGACAGCAATTGTTATTGTTAGAGCTTTGCACAGCTAGATGTAGGTTATAGGGGGCAGATGCCGATTTTACCAGTTTGGTTTAAACAACTTATTTTTACTTATAATTACAGTGAGGAAAAAAGTATTTGAACACCCTGCTATATTGCAAGTTCTCCCACTTATAAATCATGGAGCAGTCTGAAATTGTCGTCATAGGTGCATGTCCACTGTGAGAGACACAATCAAAAATATATATATATTGTATTATATAAGTTTTTTTTACACTATTTATTTGTATGATAGAGCTGCAAATAAGTATTCGAACACCTGTCTATGAGCTACAATTCTGACCCGTAAAGATCTGTTAGTCTGCATTCAAAATGTCCACCTCCACTCCATTTATTATCCTAAATTAGATGCACCTGTTTGAGGTCGTTAGCTGCATAAAGACACCTGTCCACCCCATGCAATCAGTAAGAATCCAACTATTAACATGGCCAAGCTCAAAGAGCTGCCAAAGACACTGGAGACTAAACTGAACACCTCCACAAGGCTGGATAGAGCTACGGGGAAATTGCTAAGCAGCTCGGTGAAAAAAAGTCCACTGTTGTAGCAAATATTAGAAAATGGAAGAAGCTAAACATGACTGTCAGTCTCACTCGACCTGGGGATCCGTGCAAGATCTCAGCTCGTGGGGTCTCAATGATCTTAAGAAAGGTGAGAAATCGGCCCAGAACTACATGAGAGGAGCTGGTCAATGTCGTGAAAAGAGGTGCGACCACTGTTTCCAAGGTTACTGTTGGTAATGCACTAAGACGTTACCGTTTGAAATCATGCAGGGCATGGAAGGTTCCCCTGCTTAAACCAGCACATGTGAAGGCCTGTCTTAAGTTTGCCATTCACCATTTGGATGAGGAGTCATGGGAGAAAGTCATGTAGACAGATGAGACCAAAATAGAACTTTTTGTTCATAATTCCACTAACCGTGTTTGGAGGAAGAAGAATGATGAGTACCATCCCAAGAACACCATCCCTACTGTGAGACATGGGGTTGCAGCATCATGTTCTGGGGGTGTTTTTCTGCACGAGACAGGGCGACTGCACTGTATAAAGGAGAGGATGACCGGAGCATGTATTGGGATATTTTGGGGAACAACCTCCTTCCCATTAGTTAGAGCATTGAAGATGGGTGGAGGCTGTGTCTTCCAACATGACATGACCCGAAGCACAGCCAGGATAACCAAGGAGTGGCTCTGGAAGAAGCATAGCAAGGTGCTGGCATTGCAAACAAAGGCTACTGTAAAAAAAATATTAACATTGATTTTGTCACGTGTTCAAATACTTATTTGCGGCTGTATCACACAAATAAATAGTTACAAAAAATCATACATTGTGATTATTTATATTTTTTTAGACCATGTCTCTCACAGTGGACATGCTCGTACGATGACCATAGCAGCAACTTAACAGTAGAACCCACTTTGTCAGACCAGGCACATCGTTACACACATGGTTCCAGTGCTTCGGCCGCAGATGTGTTCTGAATAGCCTCAGATCTTACAAAAGAACATGGTTAGAGGAAAATGTCTGTTGAGCTCAAAAAATACATTAGAAACACATTTGTATTAAAATCAATCATATTTTTTCAGTTGTAATAGATATAATCGCCTGCTGAAGGTAACCTGATAATGAGTCAGAAGAAGTCCAGTAGCGCAACTGCTCGCAAAGACATGGTGTAGAAAACTTTAAAATGCTTTTTAGTTCAGGATCGTCTGCCTATTTTATTTACCACTCTGAAAGTTATACTAAACGCCAAGAGCAAGGCTACAATAGTGGACATTGATCATCAGTGCAGCCAAGAACTCATTAAGAGCGATAGAAGCTGGTTCACGCAGGTACAGCTGGAGGCTCTGGCTGAAGAAAGCAGTAAAAACGGTGTGATGCCTGAATGGATTCATTTTAAAAATAAAGTGGAGGATGTTCTTTTTCTGGGTGGATCATCAAAATAAGCAGTCCTCCTGATGGTCAATCATTTTACTGATATGTCTACGTAAGGCCGTCCTACGTGCTCGTCCCCATTTTCACTTACCGGTGGTGAGTCTGACATAGTGGAAAAATTGCAAATCTTCTTTTAGAAAGTAAGCATCTATGAGCAATGCAAACAGCAACTTTTAAACAGTGCGTGCACAAAGAGAAATGGGCTCCTGCAGGCTCTCACATGCGTTCAATAAGCGTTCTCTATCAGGAGCAGGTACAGGTTTGTGCATGTGCAGGTTTGTGCATTTTTTTAATAGGAGAGGGCAGGTCTTTTCAAAAATAAGCAAAAACCGTAATTATACCTTTAAGTTAAACCTAATTGTCAATTATTAAACCAGCAATATCGGTGTGGAGCTTTACTCTAAAAAGCATCATCAGCAGGGTTTTGAAGAGGGACTTTGACCCTACAATTTAAAGTGTTGTTGGATTTGCATCACGATCTGAAAAGCATTTGGTCCTTTTAGCAGCTTAAAGAAAGTTCTGTCAAAAAATGTACATTTTGCTTGCATAAACCCTCGTAAACCTCTGATCAAGATACACAAAAAAGTGTGAAACATAATTTTAAGTTGTGCATTTTCATCTTAAAGTCAATTTTGTGTTACATGGAGCAGAGAATTATGTTTACGATGTAACCAAACTTATTTTTCCCCCCGAAATTGTACTTTCACAATTCTTGGTCATCAGCTATGCTAATTAAAATAAAGAGCTGTTAGACATTTTATAAAAGCTGCTTCTTTGCGTGTTGTACTGATGATATCAGGTTAAAAAAAAAAAAAAATTTACCATGCACTAATAATGTGCATGTCTAGATTTCAAAAACTAGATAAGACCCAAAGGCTAGCATCAAAACTGCTACAACAGCTCCTTTATATGGTCAGCCTTCCTATTGTGTTCATTGAAGTAGAAATGTGACAAATCTTGGTTTTTAGATGTATAAAAATAACACATGAATGGAAGAACTGTTCCGCTCTAAAGCAGCCTTAGAAGATGGAGATGTGACAAAGACGTTATAGCCAATCTGAATCTAACCCGGCTGTCCTCTTTCTTTCAAGGCTGCTCTACCAACAGCACACAGAGATAAACGAGCCTCAACATAACCTCAAAAGCAGCCCATCGCACTGACAGGAAGACATTTAGGGCTTTCAGCTCCGGATATGTAGTTTCTTATTTCCTGTTCTTTCTAATCTCTCTCACTGTAATGCAATTTTACCACCCAATTTTACAAACAGATGAGTCCATTTATGATTTTTTCCCCCCACTGTTCCAGCTTCTAAAAAAAGCACAGTTTAAATTAATGTTTAAATGTATTGATTATTTCATTTGTAATCTGATTTTTTTATGCAGACTCAGGAAAATAAAGTTCTGATGATTAATCTTGTATATTTCACTTTAGGAAAAATTCAGTAAAAAAAAACCTGAAGGAAACAATATCGGCAAATTAAATCTATGATTGCAAGACAATGAAGAAAATGGCTTATTTCCTGTAAACAGAGGCTGCAGATGCAAGAAACGTGTAACATGGTGGCTGTTTAGTTTAGAAATGATGGCCAAATCTAAATCATGAACTGAAACAAGAAGCAGATATAAACTTAAGGTCAAACAGCATCACGTTGCAAGTTAACCGTCATGGAATCCAAAAAAAATGTCTGACCCATTAATGTGAGTTCCATTTAAAGTGAGAAGATCACCGCAGAAACGTGCTCAAAGAAATACCTTCAGCTAAAAAAAAAATCATTCAGCAATTGTGTGACAAAGCATGCAAATTGGGATGTACAAAAATATCAGCATGTGCACCAAGTATAGATTTATTTTGATTGTAGTTAATTTTTTAAATGGTTAAAGAACTCTACTGTACCCTTTTGCAAATATTAGTGGAGGAAACCGCATCAGTTTTAACAGGCTCCCCAACTTCAATTTGGGCCTGAAAAAATCCCCCTACTTAAAACATGCTACAGGCAGCTTGTGATCATGTTGTAACATCGTAAAAATTGTGTAAATAAAAGATAATATACCATCCACAACTGTGTATATGCTCCTAATGGAAACAAATCTAGTTCTGCTATAGATGAAGCAGTTACATCTGCTTCATCTGTTATCTTTCTGTTCTGTTTTCAGATGGTTTTTTCACTGATCCGGTAATCTGCTACTTTTTGGATGCGTTCCTGATGGTCTACTGTATCGCAGTAACGGCACTGTTCTTCAGAGAAAAAGTGAGTACTTGCACAGGTCAACAATACTTTACAAACTATAGGTCAGAATAGATTAAATGTCTCTGCAAAAGAATAGACTATATAATCCATCAGTAGCTAAACTTTAAAAACATTGCCTTCCTAGAGAATGTTAACCCCTCCGATTTTTTCTTTTTAAAGATTTTATGAGATAAACTAATGGAGTTTTGGAAAAATTTTGAAAAAAACCCTTTTTTTTTTTCAAATGAAAACCAAAAAGTGTGATCCAGCTGTCCTCTGAAAGACTCAGAAATTATTTAGTGAAGAAGCAGCATGACGAAGATGAAGGAAAAACAGATGGCAGACCAGAGATGAATAATTGCAGGTGTGTTAAGTCAGGCTAAACACTATCTGAAGGTTTGGATATCTCAGATTACCATTCATTCAATTTAACAACTGAAATAAAACAAAAGTGAAAGAAGGTACAATTGCAAATCTACCAAGACAATGCTGCCCACCTGAACTGTTATACCATACAATTAGAGCATTTAAACAGGCCCATAGCAACACTCGAGGGTTAAATCAGACTGAGAAGCTATGGTAAGGTTTGAGAACTGATGGTTGCACATATTCGACATCCAGTTTAACTAAGATTTAGCTAATTTTCAAAGAACTGGGCCCCATTTCACAAAGCAGGGTAAATGGGAATCTAGAATACAGTAAATTCTGGGGTAAACTGCATACCCTGATTTTTCTGTTTCATAAAGCAAGAATGCCACAATTTTTAATAAAATAATGACAAAAAATGAGTCCATGAAGCAACCCTGCTCAGTAGGAGATATTGGCAGCCATGGCCTGGTACACATTTTTTCATTCATTACTGCCTGTTATGTTGCACGGCAAGAAAATATGTAATCTCTGTGTTATTTTATCAAAGTTTCTTCAAATTTAGAGTTTAGCTGTCAACCTGTTCCCAAGGGGAATCTCCTCATCTGTGTTCCATTGATAAGGGCTTTTCACACGTTCAAAGATGATTCAACGCAGAGTTTAGTTAAGTGTCGATATCCCCTTTTTCTGAAATCAAAGGGATAGAACAACTCGGAGTATCTGCTTATTAATCATGGAAGGACAGCTCTGATACAGATATTGATTGATTGACTTTATTTATTTTATTGAAATTTACTGGTTACGTCGGCTCAATAGTCGAAAAGAAGAAGTGCCAAAAGGAGGAAAAGGTGCATGGGGGTATATACAGTATATACAGTACGTCCTCATATATGTATATATAACAGCTGTAGTTTAGGATTATTCATCCATCCATCCATCCATTATCTGACATGCTTGTCAATTGGGGTCGCGAGGGGTGCTGGTGCCTATCTCCAGCAGTCCTCAGGATTATTATACAGGGTTATTGCACAGGTTATTAAATGGGTATTTATATAGATGGGTATTTATATATAATTAAACCAAAAGTTCATCCTGCAATTATTGGCTCAGGGTATTTAGTGACAAAATATGTAAGCCCCAAAAACAAAGAGTCAAATTCTTCTCTAAAAAGAAATAAATATAAATGAAAGGCTCGTCAAAATATTGTTGTATTCCTGTTATTATTTATTTTGCTTAAAATGTTTGATTTAATCTTTGTTTATTTTTGGTTTAGTTCTCCAAAATGAAGTTTGCTCCACCTGAGTCTGTAAGTTTCCAAACTTGACAAAAATGTCTTTAAGCAATATTTTCTCTAATCAGCTTTCCATATAAACTATATACGTCTCCTAACTCCCTATGCATTTTATTCTCTTTTCTAAAAAAAATAAGGAGGATAAAGGGGGCATTTATCAGGTAAGGGCATTCACCCCTTTGTTCAAATGATCACTTTTTGTCAGACTTTGCTGCTCTGCTCACATCTATTTATTGCTTAATCCTTTTGTTTTAGGAACTTGAGAGGCCAGATGCTGATCCTTATCAACAGATTCATCCAAAAAAAGCAAAGGTTAGTGTAAATCTTCTTTGAACTCATTTCTACTTGTAACCTTCCTACTTTTTTTCATCATGTTGTTTTGTCCTTCCAGAAAAAAACTGACAAGAAGCGACCAAAGGTAAACTAGCCTGCTAATCTGACATGTGAAACTCATTTTGAATTAAGTAAAAACATTTGCAGCCTTTTTATGACTCCATTCAGCATAAGTCGAACCAGCAACAGTGTTAAAATAAATTTGTTCAAATTAATTATTTATCAGCAGAAAAATCTGAGAAAAAAAACTTTATTGATATACAATTTTGTTTTAACATCATAGAATTAAATCACCAATGTTCTAGCTGCTTTGTCTGACCTTCATGCTGACAGGATGTATTATATTGTCTTCCTTTTACATTGACCTGCATCATGAAGAATAAAAAAACACTATTTTAAGTAAACCCCAAACTTGCTAAACACAAAGTGTAGATTTGTTTTTAAAGTTATGTAAACTGTGACAATTTAATGTCAAATCACGGTCTACCATCAGATTTATAACATTTTAAACTCCCAAAATCAGAAGCATTTTGAAATCTATTTACCCTCTCAGGCTCAAATTAAGTTGTAGTTGCAGGAAAAATCTGATATTTGGAGAAAAAGATCATATGGGGTAGTAATATACAATTCAGACTTTTTTTTGATGCACCTTCACATGCAATGAATTCTGGGATGTTGCAGATTTGCAACAGTGGCCCAGAGTGGTAAATTAACACTGAAGACTGAATCTGATATGAACGTTAACTTTATTTGAATGTAACAAACAAAAAGTTAAAACAAAATTTGAAAAATAAATTTTCTCTCACAAATTAGAGACAACTTTTTCTCACACTTTTTCTCCACCGACATCTCAAAACCTCTTGAGGAGGCCGTTTCTGTTAAACTATTGCTCAAAATATAGGCAAACTAGTAGATAAAGCATGTAGCATCCATTGGTACCTGTTTGGGCACACGTTGCGAATCCACAACATTGAAATCGAGATGCCTCTGGTGAAAAACCCAGAGGAGATAAAATCTACTAATTGGCATGTGTCATATCTATACACATTCATGATTAATCTTATATAGTATTGATTTTAAAATAATGGAAATTGGTAGTGATACTTACATGAAATTGGTGCTTAGAAAATCTGTTTCAGTGACACCAAGGACTCAGCCATGTTGAAAGTGAGTCAGCAGTGCTATCTGGTGAGCTGGAGAGAAACTGTTTGTTGCAAATGCACAACTAAGTCCTTCTGTTCTACTTCTGAGTAACAAAAGCTCTTAACATATGGATGTGGAATAATTAGCTAAGTGGCTTTTAGCTGTTGCAAATCTGCAACATCTGCCTGGAGAGGGTTAATCTAATAACTATAAGCCTACTGTACGGTTTCAGCACTACTATTTCTGATATTGCCATACTTGTTCCCTGCTATAGCTATGGCATAGCAGAACATTTCAATGTGAAGCTTTACCTCTGTCTCTTCCCTTCATTACCAGGGCAACCCTGAAAGATCAGCACCCGTATAAATCCGTCCCTTCAACCTGCCCGGTCTCCTTAGGAATGTACTCAACATCTCCAGAGACAGTGAAGCGAACCGCAACTGAGATTATTGGATGAATCTTGCCAGTTTTACTTTTCAAGTTTTAAGTACTCTTTCCTTTTCTCCTTGCTTTAATGTAACCTATTAACACTTTCCATTTAATTTGCTGGTAGGATGTCTAACAGACATAACGGGCTTTAAAGCAGCCAAGAGCAGATATGTACATAGGCTGTATGAAACAAGAACCCAAGTTTCATTGACCTGCATAAATCAGACTAAATTTTTCCTTTTTTGGGTCAGTTAGTAATAACTGAATTATTTGTTTGCTTAAAATGGCAATATTTTTATATACATCTCCTTATATGGAATGCAGAAATCTATTTTAACTGTTTATTGGCTTGTTGTTTATTTAACCTGCAATCATTCTGCAACTATATGAATTACTTTCAATAAAATGAATTATGGCGATTTGTACCTTTAGAAGGGTAATGAACTGTATGCAGCAAAACACATGTCAAAACACTTGGAAAACAGTTTTAATGATGTTTACAACAAAAAAAGAACTGTACATTTACAGTAAAAGATTATCTTTGTATGTGTATAAAAACAAAAATACAGCAGACAAATGCATCAAATTCTACTATGTATCCTGATTCACATACTTAAAACTCCTACACCAGCTTTCATTTCTAAACCTCCATGACTGGAAGCCTTTACTTATGCTTTTTTTTTTTTATTAATATCAGAGCAGTGTCCCTCTCTCAGTGTTGTATTTTATGTGAAAACCAAAACTCTTTACATTAGAGTCCTGGAAAGTAAATCGATCAACTACAGAGTAAGAAACGGAGGAAAATAAAAACAAAAACATTCCTTTAGATCAGCCCAAGCTACCGACGTGAAATGTTTTACAGAAAGCAGTTTTTAAGATACACTGACATAATATGTACATGGTTGGCATCTTTTTTTCTTGTTTTTTGTTTTTGTTTTGTTTTATTGAAAGCCGTGGTTGCCTGGGCTGGAAAACTGATAATCGCACACATGACACACCCAAAAAAACATACAAAAATACTATATCTTTAACCTACTAAGAGTAAGACAGCTCTGCAATTAGTTCCATGCTGTGACAGAAAATAAAAAAACAGGTTACAACAAATAGACGCTTTTCACGCAAGTTTTTTTTTTTTTTCTCTTTTCAGAAATATACCAAAATATACATCTAAGCTTTGGAATTACTGAGGCTAAGGACTAAAAGCCAGAGCTGGGTTTTGTCTCTTAATACACATGCTGCAGGGCGGGAAGGGCGACACAGACACAGGATAGACAGAGAGAGAAAGACAAAGAGAGAGAGATATCTTTGGTATCTGCGTTTGTCAAAAAGTTTAAATATTTGGATTTTTGCTTTGGGATAGCGCTTGTGAGGCCTGGAAAGCCTCGCCTGGAGTAAAGCCTTCGACAAAAGTGTCACCGAAGCCCCGTCGGTCAGAAGGTCTGGGCCGCTCGGGGACGGACCGTGATGCATAGTGCCACAGAGTCTGTAGAGAGGAGACGATGATAAAGGGAGGGTTTCATGACTACAGGGTGTTTATTCCTGGAGACAATGGGAACAGATCTGGGTGGAGGAGAAGATGAGAGGTTTTTCCACCATAGAAAAAGGGAGGACGGAGGCAAAGGTCCTGAGCAAGTACGGCGTGCACAGGATCCACCCTCAGCATGTATTAAAAAACATCACCCAGCTATCGCCACATTGGTTGGTGCCTGTCACAGAGGCCCGCTCAGCCCCCTCCGATCCCCGCCCACAGGCACTGAAACCACTGCACCGACAGGACGCACATTCACTTCAAAAGAAAAGCAAAACTCCTTACAGTCGAAACGTGTTGGGAAGGGTGACCCAAGGGGAGAAAGGGGGGGAGGAGGAGTGCAGCCTGGATTAGATGCTGAGCAGTGAGGCGGGGATGGGCGAGACGGCGGCGTTGCTCGCGTACAATCAAGTTAGAAGTCTTTGGTTAGTGTTGGTACCACAGGAAACCAAGAGCGGGCCACGACAGAAAGAAACCTGCACATACTTGTACCGGGTCAGAGTGACCTAAAAAAAAATTAAAATCATAAAAAAAGATTGTCAAACTTAAAGAGAAGTGTTCAAACACAAGGACAACTGGTAGGAAAATAACTAAAGTGGCAACAAAGGATTGCAGATTTTGCTTTTAGCTCTGACAAATGCCAGAAAATACAGGTGCATAAGTGGTGAAAACAAAAAACAGCAGATATTCAAAAGCACTGAGTAATCTGCCTCCACCTTGTGGCAGTACAGGTATGCGCAGGCTTCTCCAAGGACTATTTTTTCTTTTTTTTTTTTTTTTTTTTTTTTTTTTAACATTTTTTTTCCTAAGCAGATTTTGCTTTTAGCTCTGACAAATGCCAGAAAATACAGGTGCATAAGTGGTGAAAACAAAAAACAGCAGATATTCAAAAGCACTGAGTAATCTGCCTCCACCTTGTGGCAGTACAGGTATGCGCAGGCTTCTCCAAGGACTATTTTTTCTTTCTTTTCTTTTTTTTTTTTTTTTTTTTTTTACTTTTAAAAACATTTTTTTTCCTAAGTAGATTAAAGCAGGTTTCACTCAGTCTTGAGTTAGAAATGAGGTATACAACAGTTTGTTTTGCCGTACTGGTGGTCCACCGTTTTTCCTCCACAGCAAACCGACATAATCAGGCTGAAAATAGTCGCCTGGCTGAACCGCGAGGACGCCTTGAAGTCTCAAGATCACCTACTGACAGTGAAGCACTAAAAGCCAAGAAAACAGCTCATAAGGATAAAAAGTTGACCACAAACCAGGTTTTTCCCCCAAAGCAGGCTGCCAGAAGCTTGTGGCCAAATCAGTAGATGAACTCAGTCCAAAACAAAGTCAGCATTCCTTTACAACAAAACGTTTGATAAAAGAAAAGAAAAATCCCTCAATACACCAGCTGGAAGATGGGGGGGGGCGTGGGAATGCACCATAAAGGTGGCAGACAACCCAAACACACACAAAAAGCAACTGAAATTATTAGTAGAGTTTTTCCCATCCTGTCGAGAACAAAAACATCATTCCACTCTTAAAATGCCCCAAAATATCTATCGTTTCAGTGAAATTAGCCCTCGCCACACACAAACCCACACAATGCTACAATGCTCAAGTCTTCTACGTAACAGTAAGGCATAAATGATAACGTTAATCCACTCAGTCGACATACGAAAGCCAGTGATCGCATCCTCTCACGGTATACAAAAACAATCAAAGGCATAAAGTTAAAGAAAAATGATTGTTAAAGACATCACAGCAAATCAAATCCACAACAAATTAGATTCTTAGCCTTAACAACAATAATAAAAATAAAGCATTAAGGTCAGATGCTTCAGCGTCTTGAGCTCCGCTAGTCAAAAACGGAGGCATCCTCACAGATTTCCTCATATTTTTGGTCAGTTAAAAAAAAAAGAGAAAAATCAAAAGCAATAAAAGGTTGTGGGGAGATTTATTCTTTTGAGTTAGCATGATAACCACTACATTCAATCTTGATAACATACTAGTTCAAATATAAAATATGAATATCTTACAAGTGTTTATATATATATTTATATGTATAGAATTAAGAAAAGGTTGTTTCTCTAATTCTTAAGTCTTTCCTCAGATAAATATTTCAGTAACATCCTATGGTGCCAGTCGGTTTGCCATGGTGCAGGGTGAAACATAAACTAGTGGGAAGGGACTGAGCGCCCCCTGCAGGGTGGAGGGGGCCACACATCCAAAAGCTTCAAAGAGAAAAAGCTTTTACTTTGGCAAAAGAGTTCTCAAAATAACATTTCAACCTGGAAACATCACTTAAATAGTAGTACTAGAAAATAGCAGTAGTAGTAGTAGGTTGTCCTTTAATGCTATGGTTCCTATGAACGGTATAACCTCTGAATGGCAAAGCCAGACAGTACTTATACATTCTACACCCAGAAATGTCTAAAGGTTAACCTATATTGAAGTGCTGCTGAGGTATATTTAGTCACAATTATTTAAAAAAAGAGGAGGAGGAGGACTGTGTGGACAGATTTCACAAAAATAATGGATACAGGATTCAAAGTCATCATTTGGATTAAAGTCCAATGCTACTTTTCTGTAGGATTTGACTAAATGTGTCTGCAGATGAGACGATACAAAGAGGTGGCGCTAAGAAGATGAAGAGTGCTTTCCGATGATCAGATTGATGCATTTACAGAGGTGAGCCCTCCTGTCAGGAGGGTGGAGACTACTGAACCCTGATTTCCACAGGGTGTAGTCATAAAGCTATAAAGGAGGCATGTGGGCCCCTCGACAGCTCGGCTTCCCGTCGGGAGCTCCAGCAGCAAGTTGTTAAAGCTATGTTTCTGTGATCTGAATCCAGCAGCACCAAATCGGGGAGAATCTGGCAAACTACTTGCAGGGGGTGGAGGGATAGTAGAAACCTTATGAATAACAACATGCGTGCGCCGACAGGCACAGCAGCTGCTGAGTAAAACTGCTTTGGTTCGAGCTGTTGTTTTATGGCTGAATATTAGCACTACAACAACAAAAAGGAAATAAATCCATTAGGCATGGGCCGGTTTGCTGTATCAAATTATACCAGGGTTTTAAAAAGCTGCAACTTTAAAATAAGCAAGATTGCAGTTCCTATGTCGAAAATCCGCTTTGTGAAATCTTTTAGGAACCATAGGTACCACTGCTCCAAATGCTGCTGTGCATTGCTGGTCAGCTGGCCAAATGAAGGCAGCGAAACCTCTCTTACTTACAACACATAAAAAATAGGCATCTCTTTGCAAATATTTCCAGCCTCCAAAACTTAATTTCCAGTAAAGGTTACAATGTTAAAATGACAATCAGTCATGCTGTTAGATAACAAAAGATTAGCAATTTGATCGAGGTTCATGTTTTTTTATCTATTTTTTCTTAATAACGTAAAGATTGTACCAGCCCATGCCTACTTTATACTACAGTTTCCAAAGAACGGCAAAAATGCTACCAGAACAGATTAGAAAAGGAAGCAAGCCTTCAAATGGCTCTAAAAAATTATAAAAAAAAAATTGAGGGCAAGGCCCAGGTGGTAAAAATAAACGGTTTTGTAAAAAAAAAAAAAAAAAAAATTCTAACAACCAAACCCCTCCCATCCCTCTCATTTGTTGGCGAGTAGTGCTGCCAATTTAGAAAAAAACAAAAAAAAAAAGTTATCTTTGGAAAATGGTCATCAAAATATTGCATTTTTATATTCTGTTGACAATGAAGAGAGATTCTGTACTCATAAATATATCGACTAGACTAAGCTACACTGACTACACACAGCGACTATTTTAACAAATATTTTTGGTATATCTTAAAGTACGTATTCATTCCTCCCAAAAACAGGCAGACTGCAGCTCATCAATCCAGTTTTTTTGGTACAGATACTGTGCACAATTCCATTATAGTACTACTATTGAAAAGAAAAAAGACTCACGATAAAGTAACCCCAATGAGCCAGTACCACCAGCACTAGTCCTAAAGAAAAACACACAGCCAGAAACTGATCTGAACAATCTGCAGAAGTACATTGCAACCCGAACCATCTCAGTCAGAGGTGAGGCTCCAGCCTGCTCTCTATAAAGCTCTTCACACAATATTTTGAGCTATTTTCCGTCCATGTCAACAATCCACAACTAGATCCTTGTTTTAAAAAAGCTTGAAGGCGTCTTGGTCGCCATAGCGACGCGTAAAACTCAGTGTTTCCAGAGAAGAGATGCAGAGAGACCCGCCCAGTCACCTCCGACCCTTAAAGCAACGATAACCTTTAAATCGGCCACTTATTACTTATTTTTAAAGCCTTATAACCATGATTAAAAAGTGATAGGTGAATATTAAATTAATCAAGAATAATAATTAGAACTATAAAGATCTCAATTTGAAAAAAAAGGACATAAAGCAAAAGGGAAGAAACAAAAAGTTAAACTTTGATATGATTAAAGTTAAAGCCTGTCAATGAAGAAAAAAAAAAAGTTAAAGACAAAGTGATGCACAAACCCTAGTTAGTCATGATAAACATTGTGAAATTAGTAAAAAACATTCTAGTTTAAATGTTAAACTGGAAAACATTTTTGTTTTTTGGTTAAAAGCATCACAATTGACTCTGAACTGGAGATAGAAGAGAATATGTACATCATAGAGATGGTGGCGAGTTTTTGTCCCTCCTGGACTGGAGGGCTCAGGCCAACATGAGAGTTTGTGAAACAAAATGTTAAAAAGGAGAGAAAACAAAAACTAGGCCCAATTACATTGGATGTCGTTTTCATTTTGGTGGCAGCAAATAGATTTAATAATGTTCTAGTTCTAATCATAAAAGTGTGGAGCGGGTAGTGAAGCCCGTGTATTCAACGACCGTCTTATTCCCTATCCCGCACGGCGTGATGGGAGCAGTGCTCGTGATGGGAAACGTGGGCCTCAAAACCCGGGCTTCACTGAGCCTTGGAGGCAGTGGTAATGGTCGAGGCTTGCACAGGCACGGCAGCGGTGGTGGCCTGGTGGTGGGCGTCGGTGGTGACCTGCAGCCCGCCCGTCCCCGCCGACACCAGGCTTACGGGGTTGCTGGTGAGCAGCGACAGGTTCTGGGGGTTAAGGAAGAGCGGCGTTGTCACCAGGTTGGGTGTGTTGGAGCCAGAGGTGTTAGCGAACAGCAGGTTGCCGCCTTCCAGGGATGTGATGGGGATAGAGCCGCCTGATGCCAATGCTGCAGAGGAGACATGAGGATCAGTTTCTTTAAACATTAAATCTTCCTCAATAATTAATTAGGAAGCAGGAAATTGGATACATTACACCAACAATTCAAGCCTCTATTTTAGCTCACTTTGATTATAATGTTTTACTGCTGATGGAACCCACCTTCCAATATTCACGGAAATTGAGTGGAAGGAATCTTTGGTATGTGCTTTAAGAACCTTAACTCTTCATTTTTTTGTTAAGGAAACCCTTAGCCGAGAATAAGCACCTGCTGTTAAATGAGCCAAAACAAGTATTACGTTTATGTAAGGTGATTCATTTATTTCCCCATCAACATCTACTTTAATTTGCCTTCTATAATATATGCTTCTATATTTAAATTTTGACCTTATTTACTAACATGCTGCGTGAATTGCAAGCACGTTTTCATGTAGTTTTGACATAGTCTTCATTTTAAAACCCAACAAATCAAATGAAAATTGTTTTATTACAGCTAAAGAATTATTACTTATCTTGCTTTTCTACAACTAAAATGAGATCTGATTGGATTTTCTCTCCCTCCTGTATTTAGTCATTTAAAAAATTGGAAATGACTCTGATCATTGTCATTATAATTAGGGTTTAGTTTATTTCTTTATGCATCAAAAAAAGACAGCTGACGAATTATTCTCTTTGTATTTCAGTCAGTGAAATAAAACAGAAAAGATGCACATGTTAAGAAAACACAGTCTGTGTTAAAAAAAAAAAAATAACAGAATCTGCAGATTTTTCTAGTTATCAACCATCAGCAGGACATTTGTTTCTCTATTTGGATGAACAGAAATTAAATGCATTGTTTAAAACTATGTTCTAATTATGCAAATCATGTGTCCTCATTCAGTGACTGCTAAGCGTACAGCTACTAATTATCCTGAGGACCTTTAGTAATAAGGTTTGGAATTATCCTTATGTGCTTTTAATTAAAGCACCCATTTGTTTTAGAGTGACTCATTTATCCAAACCTTATTAGGATTATCTGATCTCTGCAGTTGGATTTAGCTCTCTATATGCAGAGAGCAACAATAAAAACACATTTTCCTTTTCTTTTTAAAGACTGAAACACCTGCTGGTGCATGATGAATAATAAATTAGCTTAACAATAAACTTCACTTTACAGCTTTTTTCTTGGCTTCAAGACTTAATTAGATCTGCTTCAAAATCTGCAATGCTTAGTTTCATCCTCCACCAGAGAGATTGTTTTATGATAGCATTATTTTGATTAGGAGCCAATTCTTTAAGTCATTTTTTTGTTTTGTTTTTTTTCTTCTTTTTTTTCTTTACCTTTCTTAAGAAAACCTTTAAAACCCTCAATATGAGGGTATAGAAAAATAAAGATGAACTAACGACCCTTTTCATTAGATTCTTGCAGTGAATTAAGCCCCAAAAGATTAACGATTTCAAAAATAGCTTTTAAGGTTGCAAATTAAATATGGAGGATGTTATCTAAATTTAAATTTTAAGAAATTCTGATGTGCATCTTTTAATAATTCCAATTCTAGTAAACAGAAGACATAAAGGCAACACCAGCAGAATGTTGCCATCAGTTCGATTGGATCCATCCATGGTTGAGGATGCAACTTCTTACCTAGAGTATAAAGAGGGTGTTTTACTGGATGGTGATGCTAGCACACACCTTGAATTGTAGCCAGAGTGTTGTTATTCATAACAGCTGGACTCAACGTACTGCCGAGGCCACCAGGAGTCAGACTAAGAAGGGCGCCCCTGAAGACAGACACAATTATCAAGGCAAATTCCAACAAAAAACTGAGCAAAATACAGATTAATCAAGAGGTCTGATTATACCAACCCTGGAGCGAACTGTGATGACGCCATGAGTCCTGGGTTAAGGCCTGCAGCTGCAGCCATGGCTGCAAAGCTTGCACTGGTGGGCAGCGCTGCGGTGAGCCCCGGAGCTGCCAGCATCACCTGGCCTGTCGCTAGAGACGTAGCTATGGACGTCGGAGTGTGCGAGACCAGCGTCTGGATCCCGGCTTTGCTGTCTATGGATGGGGACTGAACAGTGGTCGTGGATGGGCTTATAGATGGAGCGCTGGTTGATGTAGTAAGTACAGGTGTGGTGGAAATGACAGATGCAGTGTTTGTGGCTCCAACTGTTGTGCCTTAAGGACAGAAAAGAAAGGGAGAAATGTAATTTCTTCACATTACATAAAAATAAGCCATTTAAAGCAGAAATGTTTTTAAAACAACTCTAAAGCTTCCTCCCCATTTGAAATACTTATATAAATATGCAAATTGGTTCCAACTAAACCTCCAGCATTCGTCTTCAGCTGTTTCCTATTGAACTAAAAGAACCACACGAAGCTCCACAACAGGATAACAGAGCCATGAAAACCAACACCCAAAAATTAACCTAAAACATCTGTGATATCAGGCTTAAACAACTAAACAATGAATACAAGATGAATTATTTTAGTCATTAATTGGTAGTAATAATAAAGGAATAAGCAGACATACATCAGCTGCAGGCATGCAGACACAGAAGGTATTTGCATATTTATAAGTCTGTGTGTGCCGACTGACACACAGCTGTAGATTTGCAGATATGGCATTTTGATGCAAAGCTTGTTTTTATATATATAAAAAAAAAAACAACAAAAAACCCAACAAAGCTTGGATTAATAAATGCTATTCAAGGCTTCAGGAAAGTCATTGGGGTAATTTGACATCTAGGAGTGGGCCAATGTTTCACCTGTGAAAGCCAAACTGGAGACACTGGTGCTGGTGAGAGGCATCATTGGGTTTACAGTCAGGGTGGCGGATGTGTTAATAGTTGGACTGCTAACAAGGCTTGCTGTGCTCGCCACCTGGGGAGGAAAGGATGAGGGAGAACTGAGTCAGCTTCTCTCTGCTTAAAGGTGTCATCATCAGGTAATCCGACATTTTCAGGCTTAAATGTGTGAGCTGGTGTTAGGCCTCAGTTAAAAAAATTTTTTTCTTAGTGTAAACCTGCAAAGCCCACATGTGCACGATCTCCACAGAGCTCAATTTTAGTCAGCCTCCTTGAATAATAATAATCCTCTGAAAAGTGTGATTTGCTATCACCCGTCTCTATTCTACCAAAAGGAGGAATTCCAACATTCGCCTGCAGTCGTTACATGATGCTGCTTGCATTATTTTTCACTTTAGGTGAGAGTAGGTGAACAGGGAATAATGCAAAATCATGAAAAATTGCTAATGTTGCTAACGTTATATTCACATGAATGCACATACAAGCAGGTCAAATTCTTAAGCATTTCCTCATAACAATATTGATACCGATATTTAGGGGTCAATATAGGTTTTATTTGTATATGCTGCCAGTATGCAATGTTTGGAAATATCATCCATACGTTATGAATGCTAACATATCGTGCGTAAAGAGAAAGATGTCTGTTTTTATTTAGGATCAACGTAACTGGATCTTTAATCCTTTAATAATTGGATTTGTGGATTGATTAATTGTAACATCCGCCTGGTTAGTAGATCAGCTCTGCTTGTGCTACCGGTTTAATATCAGGCCTTAAATGTGAAAGATCAGTTTAGCTGGAAAACATTTAACACAGCACAAAAAATGTTTTAGTATGATGGTGTGTAGTTACCAAAGGGCTGCTAGGGGTAAAGATGGTTTTAATGGAGGTGCTACCTCCTCCATTATTGACACTGCTGGGCGGGTTTATCCGCTTCTCCTTCTGTCGGCGATTGCAGAACCAGACCCGGATCACCTCCTTCTCCATGTTGAGCTGGTCGGCGATCATGCTGATCTCCTCAGAGGTAGGTTTTTGGTTCTGCTTGAAGAGGGCAAAGTAGCCAGGGATTCCCTGTCAGCACTGAGGAAACTATTGCACTGCATTATCAAAAACCTAACTAACGCCTCACGATTAGTGAAATTAAACATTTTCAGTTAAAGATAAATTTTTTATTATATATATATATATATATATATATATATATATAACCCCCAACAAAATAAGATTCTCACCTCCAGAAAGCTCTTTTCTAAGGCCACTCGAATGTTGGTCTCAATACTGGTCCTCTTCTTCCGTCTGCGGTTGATGCCCTCTATGCCCATGCCCGGGGAACCCAGCGCACTGGGGCTGGACAAGGATTGGTCAGATGACAGGTTCTCTGCACAAACAGCACAGACACAAAGAGAGGAGAGAGAGGTAAAGTAGATCATACAACACCCACACCCTCTGAAACTTGTGTCTACATGTAAACAGAGCTACATACAGTGCCTTGGACGTTTTATAGCGAAACGACAAAATTGATTTTTTTTAGGGATGCAACTAACAATTATTTTGCAAATCTATTACTAAATTATTTGACAATTATTTAAATATTAATTAATCATGATTAATTTGATTAATTGTTTCAGCCCTTGATCTTTATTGAGGTCAAGTATGACAACTAACACTTAGTTGTGCATCAATGAAGAGGGAGGAAGTTCCACTTGTGTTTCTTTGAAACAAAACAATATTAATATTGACACCCCAGAGTCAATACCTTGTAGGAGACAGAGTGGACCAAAATGTCTGATCTCAGCCCCTTTTTCTATGTCTGTTTATTCCAAAAAAGTTAAAAACAAACTACTGGACTTTGTTTTCCAAGTTTGAAGACGTTTCAGTTCCCATCCAGGAATCCTTTTTAATAAAAAATGTCAAAATTTGTGTCAAGTCCCACAAACCAAGCCTTGTTTTGGTTTAGAAAACATGCAAATTGAACTGGAAGAAAGGGTCCGCCCATTAGGAATGGGGAGTCGTTGAATTCTTCGTTAGCCTACAATACCCAATATGGGTCTATGCCTCTGAAATGGGGAGTCGTTAGGAGCATTGATGGACTGGCTGACCAGGCGAGTTGTCTTGCTCCCCTGCATGAGGATTATGGCAACGGGGAGGAATCAACTCTATCGCTACGTTATAGGTTTTGAGAGCTGGAATCTGAGTCCACGCCCTCTGTTTAAGGCTGGCTTTTCTCTCTTAACACTCCCCTTTCAAACCACATGTATTCTTTGTCAAAAATGTAAACATTCTGGTCCTCAAAAGAATGTCCTTTGTCAAAAAGGTGTAGAAGTACAGCAGTCTTCTCAGGAGGAGGCAACTCTCCTGTGTTGAGCCATGTGCCTTTGGAGAGGTTGTTAGGTTTCTCCAATAAAAAGATTAGAGCATTCCTTACTGCACTGAACTGCATACACCACTCCGTTCATCATAGGTCTGGGGGTTTTGTCTTTAGGATGCACTTGCCTCTGTTAAAAGGTCTTGCTTGGTTTGAAAAGAATCCCCATTTCTAAGAGGCAGAACCATACGTCTGGTTCAGTTTACCGGTACATATTTTTTAAAGCCAAAACAAGGCTTTGTTTGGGCTACATTATAAAGCTTGGAACTCAATGCTAATTACCACATTTTGAATAAAAAAAAAAAAACATCTTCAAACTTCAAATAAAGTCCAGTGGATTGTTTTTTAAATTCTTTGGAATGACTGTGACCTGGATGACTGAGAATCTTCATCAGCAAATGTCTGTTTATCTCTTTCATGGTCTGTGGTTAACTTCAAACTGGACTTCTGGTTTCTGCCAATACTGTTTTTTTATTCCCCCACTTGTTTTTTCATAAAGATTGGATTTGTGATGTCCTGTTAACTAATATTCCCACTTGAGCTGTGGATGTCTGCAGCTCCTATTGGATTTAATTTAGTGGTATATGTGTAAAGAGATTCCAAAGGTCAGCTGGCAATTCTGCAATCATTGTGGTCCACCATAGAGAATCCCCTTAAATACATTGTTATGTGGTTGCCATTGTTATGTTATGCCACAAAAATTGAAAAATTTCAAGTGTGAATTATTTTCATGGCACTGCATGTAAAATACATAAGGATTAACAAACTCAGGTCCATTTTCTTTACCAAACATTCCTCAACCGGACGCACATGGCTGAAGTAGCTCCTCGGTGTGGCATGGAGTTCTTCAAAATGCTGCTCATAAGCCATTTATTTCATTCAGGAGTATTAGAAACACCAACCAATCTGCCTTGGATCAAACTTAAGCAAACAATCTGGTTGATCAGGTGGGTTTAGGGACAAACCTGCATCATTAAGCCACTTCTCCAGCAAAGGCTTGAGTTTGCACATGTTCTTAAAGCTCAGATTCAAGGCCTCGAAGCGAGAGATGGTCGTTTGGCTGAAATCATTTCCATAGAGCTTCCCCATAGCTAGGCCAACATCACCCTGCAGGTTGGGGGTAGACAAAGACAGAGAAATATGAGAGCTATAAATTATTAACGGTCTTCTAGTCTCCTGGCTCTGATTAGAAACATAAAAACTAATCTCTATTCATCAAAATGACATCATAAAAAAGTATTTTTTGGGGGGCATTTCATAAAAATATTCCCGGCAGACCTTAAAACGGCCAAGATGTGACTTTCACACATTTCCCTCATTTAAAAAGCATGAATCTATAAGTATGCAGACTGATCCTCGCCTACATTCCATCTGCTGGCCTGCAGCTTCTAGACCTCAGCTTGGCTCAAAAGCAGAAAAACTAATTATGCTACAAGACAGGAAGAAGTCATTTAGAGAAAACTCATTCCGGGTTTAGTTTTATTATCTGTAAATTTCTCAAATCATGAAACAACACAAAGCTTAAAGCAGCCTCGCATTGGACAGAATATTAAAGGGCTATTTCACTTTACTCCTCCTTTTTTCTGGCGTCTGGTCTCATTCCAATAAAACTCTAAATAAAACAATGTAGCTAGAAAATTGATCAAATATGGACAAAATTATTCTACAGCCAATAAAAGTCTATTTAAAGTACAGCTTGTGATCTTTGAATGAATGAATGAATAAGCTAGGTTTGAACAGGTACACCAGCGGTCTTCAACTCAACCCTCTCAGAGCAGAAGTCCTGCAACCTTTAATATATGATTTGCCCCTGTACCTAAATCAAATACGTAGACAACTGGGTATTTAAGTCAGGGGTTTTGAAGCAGAGACGAATTTATAAGTTGCAGGACACTGAACCCAAGACCAGTGAAATATATACATTATGATGTGCAAAGCCAGTCCTTTTAAAGATAAATCAATGTAAAAATCATTTTGTTATCTGAAATATTTAGGCTTCTTTCACAGGACAGTATAAGGGCTAAATAAATAAACTTGAAAACATTTTACCTTGCATAATTGTGTTATTTTCCCACACTTATGCGATAAAAAAATGAAAAGGCTTGTTTTCTACTTTTCCCAACCTTTACGCACTACATAGAAGTAAGAGCCTTGTTCACAACAGTCAGGTGAAAAGATTTAAAACATAGAACAACCAAATCTGAACCTGCGGTATACCTGTGTGAAACCCAGTTTGATTCGTCGCTGTTTGAACGTTTTTGCAAACTGCTCCAGCTCCTCAAGGTCACTGGGCTCCTCCATGGTGGGGGTGTCCAACCGCTTGGGCGGTGTCTGACTGTGGGGCAGGCTCTTGATGTTTGTAGATGGTGTTGTACAGGTTGGAGAAGCAGGCTGAAGATGAAATATAACACATGATTTATCAAATCGGTTCTAACATGTAACATTTATAACTGACATAAAGAGTAAAAAAAAAAAAAAGTTTGATTTGTTCGACACCCTTAAGTTTGTATGAAGAAAGTGGCTACAAACCTTAGTAGCAAGGGTGATGCTTGGTTGAGTCGAATGGAGGTTAGCTTGGCTTTGAGGTAGTTGAGTTAAAAGACTCTGGGCTGGCAATATGCCTGTAGAGTTATATGCAACAGGATAGTTGGAACAAAAACCTGTTCAATATCCTTCAAATATTTCCATTTTAAATTCTCCAAGAAAATCTACTTGCCTTGTTGGCCCGACGACGTCTGCGAGATGATGTACTGAGCGGGCTGTAAGGGTGTTGCAATTGGGTGGCCAGGCTGAACCAGGACAAACTGAGGCAGGGTTAGATTCTGCGGTAGCTGCTGAATAAAAAAAAATAAATTAGGCAACAGTTTGCACCCACGTTTGGGCTCAATGTGAGTCAATGATGGCAGCTTACAGGGGCGATCTGGATGGGCTGTGACAGGGGCAGCTGGGTAATCGGTGTGACTGCGGTGGCCGAGATGTTGGCTCCAGTGTTGCTGTTCTGCTGGCTGGCTGAATGCTGCTGCTGCTGCTGCACGGCTGCAGCCAGCAGATGAGCCTGGGCCTGCTGGAGCAGCAGCTGCTGTGCTGGGCTCAGGGTCAACTGAAGGAAAACACAGACAAAAGACGTTAGATAAGAGCTGATGGAAAACCTGAAGTAGTAGCTAATTTGCTCTGAATCTAAGGATATATTACACAGATTGTAAAGAAAGTGCTCCATTGTATCAGTTTTTAATTTAAAAAAAGTCTGTTATTCTTGAAAGTAATCTTGATATTTTTTATCAAGAATTGGTTAACTAATGATGCCAACAGCAACTTCAGTGATGCTGATGAAACAGAATCACAGGTTGTGTTGGTTTGTGGGCCTTGCAAAAGCATTTACAACCCCGGAGTACTTCTCAGCTTGTTCTGGTGTCAGCCATGTGTCGTGTTGACGCTCGTATTCAGTGGAGTCAAAAAGCGGATCAGATTATGTGGGTTAAAAATGAAAGAGTGGGGAAGAAGAACATTGAAATAAAACCTTACTTTATGATTGGTTTAAGCCAGGGGGACTCAACAAATCTGTGGAAATGAGGCTTTGGTCAGATGAGACTAAACTGTACTAGAGTTGGAACAGTTAATCAGATTAATTTTGATTAATTGATTATTGAAATAATCGACAACTAATTTAGTAATCGATTAATCATTAACTGAAGTATAGAGACAAAAACATGTCTTTAGCTGACAGAGGAACACACTTAGAGGAGTAAGTATACCAAAAAATATATAAACATTTTGCATTTAAGAAAAAAAAAAAGTTTCCCCCGGCAAATTGCCCCAACCAAAACCCCCCCAAGGGAAATTTGGAAAAAAAAAAAAAAAAACCAACAAGAACCAACCGCTAGACAAACAATAATTAAATAAATAAAGAAAGAAGTGACAGACAAATAAACATGCAAAACAACCATAAAACTCACCCCTAAAACCGACATGCAAAACATTAATGCAAAATAAAAACTCCCGTTTAAAAAACGACGCATACACAACGATGAAAATACCCGGAAAAAACAGACCCGAGACAGGCCAAAAAGAAGGAACGGAGAAAAAGGGACAGCACCGAACGCAAACAACCTGAACCGAACAAAGAAAAAAAAAACCGAACAAAGCCAACAACAGAACAAAACCCAAAATAGAAGCAAAGAGGTAAACACCAAGCCCGATACACGGATAACAAGAAAGCAAAAGAAGAATGAACTAATTTAAAAAGAATGGACACAAATTTCCCTCTGCGTAAGGGCAAGGTTTGGAGGGAAAAAAACAAAAACAAAAGACCAATAAGTCCTTCTGCTGAACATCTTGTGGTTGCAACCAGAAGGAACTTCCTCAAAGACAGACTCTGGGGAACAGGGCTTAACTGCACACACATTGTTCAAGACTATGACAATCAGCTTGATTAAAAACATTTATATCTGGTTGAAAATTTGATTATTCTCAAGTGCTTCAAGAGTTATAAATACTTTGCAAGGCACAGAATCAGATGAAAATTAAATTTGTAGGAGTTAAATGCAGAATTGAACTTTTCCCACAGATATCAAAGACTAATGAAAACTTCAGAGGTATTGTAAACACAAATATGAGCCAATAGAGGCAAAAAGAAAAAGGACCCGTGCAGCGGAGCCAAGCAAAAGAGCGAGTGAGATTGTTGATGTTAAACACATAACTACATGCACAGTAAACATTCACTCCTGCATTGCACAGCAGCAGCAGGTGAACCAGCCATTTGATCCCCTCAAGGCTTTGGGAAAGTGGTGGAAATGAAATGTATGGCATGGTCTTTTTATATTTTCTGTCATGGAGAGGTTTGAACATACACTAACAACCACAGAAATGAGCAGGCAGGCAGGCAGATGAGGCCAGAACTTATCAGGGGAAGCTATCATTTCATCACGTATTGTTTCCGAGCAGAATTGATCGTATTGAGGTGTAATCAAGGGGATGCATGGAAGGACAAGGTCGTGACCAAGAACAACAGAGCCACTTACTCCAGCAATCTGTCCCCCTGCCAACATTAGCTGGGTCTGAGGCAATACGCTCTGCTGGACGGAGGCAGGAAGAGCACCAGAGTCTTCCGACTTAGACTGGTGGAAGTTAAGCGGAGAACAGAACTTAATTTGATGTCTTTCAAGTCAAAATCATAAAAGTATGAAGAAGACACTGATGCTTATAATTAAATACTTAGAAATAAAGCACTGAGCTATATAAAACAAATGCCTTAAAAAAATGTAACAGAAATCTAATTTCTCTGCTACCCGAGCGGCTTAGTCAGAATGCACCTTTTCGTCTTTAAGCAGTGAGAGGAATTCAAATTAAGGCAGCGATAAAAGTGGGAATTGAAAATGTGTCGCAGCCTTCAGAGACTGGAAAAAGTGAAGTGAAGGGAGGAGAGAGCAGAGATGCTAATTAAAATAACTGTTATGCAGCGCATGTAAATTCTGCATAGATTTGCATATTCTCTACCATCTGTTTCCGAGCAACCGCAGAGCAGCTAATTAGCATACAGGGTTGATTAATCTGCCTTGTTGCCAGGCGACACCCAGAAAGCCTGGCTCATTTAAATGAACTCTCTTTGCTTGCAAATGTTGTGCTGATGAGCGAACCTCCCCTGGAACTTCATCTTTCATTTTTTTTGTGCAAGTACTTTTATGAATATTTAAAGCAATAGTTATTACTATGAAAACATCTACTGTAACACATCTGCTCTTTGAAAAAAAACAAAAAACAAAAAAAAAAACCAAACATTTAAAGGTTAAAGTATGTGCTGCAGCTCATGCAAGCAGGCCTGATGTGTTACCTGTTGGAGGAGCGCTTGTGCATGTGCGTTAGAGATTGTGGTCGGCACAGACTGCCGCTGAAAGTCCAGTCCATTTGTTTGGACTCCTAAAGGAAAGAAAGACAGACAGTCAGACACATTTTCTAACCAGTGAATGAACTGAAAAAGCAAGAAAACAACAATCTGCAAAACAACAATCTTCAAAGAAAAGAGGAACACAAAAAATACTTGCAGGTGGAAGGAAACCATTCTTTAAATGCATATGAAACAGCTGCATATTACTGATTATGTGCTTTAGTGTTTGCATTTGTGGCCTGCATAAGAATATGAATAACAATGCAAATTCAAACAGTGCATCTTCAATATCTAATGTGATGTCACATAGCAGTATCAAAACGTCGCTAAAGCATTAATTTAAAAAAATAAAGAGAAATTCAATTAAATTAAGATCTTTTTGGAATGCTGGTGATTAAGATGTGTTTACAGAGCCCAAAAGGATGGCTTGTGCTGCAAAATTTCTATAATAATATTTGGATCTGTTTACGAAACCTGTTGAATGAGCTGGTAAGACTTTAAAAATGTATATCTGACTGTGCAAAAAAAAAAAAAAAAGTTTGATTAAAATGAAATAAACTTAAAAACAAGAAAAAATGGCTGATCGATACTGACTGGTGTTCCCGTCACCACTTTCCATTTCACATTTAGTAGTTTCTGACTGATTATTCACTTTAGCATCTGAAAGAACCAGACAGAGACATAATGAGATACTCTCATATATCAACTGGTGCTAAAATATAATTCCCTCCCTGCATTTAAGTGTCCAAAAGTATTTCACCTTCACAAAAAAAGACTGATGAAGAAAACAAGTTGATGTTACAATCACGTTAAATAAATCCTAAGATTTGCATGTAAACATTCCAGATTATCCTTTTTGAATGTTTAGCAAAGTGTCCTGCCAATAGTTAGAACCCAGCAAAGCCCCCTCACAGCCTAAAAAAAAAAAAAAAAACTCACCGGCTCTAGTTCCACCTGTGCTTTCCTGCATGTTTGCTGGACCTGTCACGTAAAACCGCTTCGACTGGGCAACCCCACCGACAGGATGTCCAGAGTCTACTCCTTGCTCCTACCCGCACCCCCCCCACCCTCTCTTGTTTTCACTCTCCACTGGTCAGCAGCGAGCACACAGAGACACAGGGACACCGTGGCAGTCTCTACAACACGGTCTGCTGAGCAACACTGGGAAACGCACACTGGGGAAGCCAACAGGGTTTAGGCAAACAGCTCTCCTTGCTTCTCTCTTTTCTTTTCTTATGGCTCTGCCCCCTTCCTCTAGCACTCCCTCTCTGCTGCTGAGATCGGCTCTACTCTGAAAAACTTCTCTCTCTCGTGCTTTTGCTGGAATGAAACAAACGACAAGTGCAGCTGGCGGCCTCCTTCAACACTGCCATCCCACCCCTCCTCCTCCATCCAACTCTATAATGAAGCATAATCAGTATTCAGCTGATTAAAGCCGTATGCAAATCTGTTCCTGCCTCGTTAGTGATGCAAGGCTTTGAAGTCCTGCGAGCAACGCATTTCACACCGGGCTCTGAAAGCTTTCTGCATAATTTAAACCCCTATAAATATTTATCAGCTCATTAGCATATTAATTGGATGGCTTTTGGAGGACGATAAAAAACAGGGGAATAAGGACGACAGAGAGGGAGGGGGGGTGGAAAGTGCTCAAACTAGCACTTGGCGCAGAGCAAGGCAGGGAGGCAGCAGCACAAGACCAATTACTGTGTGAGCGCTGGCCTAAAAAGTAATTAGCTAAGAGCAGGTAAAGGAGCTGGAGATATCCCAGAATGCAACGTGAGGGCTGGCAGCAGTGATTTTGTAGGGTTAGCTTGATGAACCGCTTCAATGGTGTGCTTGTGACTGTTCGTTCAGAACATCTCCAGGAGCCGTGGAGACTGGGCCGGGCTGCTTCAAAGGGAGGGGGTCTGGGTTTTGTGTGGGAGGAGGGAAGACGGAGAAGGAGAGGGGTGGGGGGGCTTGAGTTGAACTCGCTCAATCGGAAATAAATAACTCCACATTAATCCACCAGCAGCTTGTCATTACTGTGAGAACCCCTGCGGCGAAAACATTCCAAAGCGAATGACTTCAGAAAGTGGGTGGCGGGCCGCTGGCGTCTATGTTTATGAAGTGTTTGGGGGATTAACATATTTAGATTAGCTTTACATTCCATTAGTGTTTCGTTTTGGGGGCCCCTTTTAAAATTCATTCGGAGCAAATGCTTAGAGTTAATGCGGCAGGGAACAACCCAGTTATGGAGCTGCACAGGTGTCCAACCAATCGCAGTGGAATGCAACGCTGTATTTGGGTCTTCTGGGGAAGGGGCTTACGGACTAAATCCACAACAACTGGTCCTGGCTAAAGGCTTAATCAACCTCTCCATTTATCCTGCTGCCTGACCAAAGGCATTTATAAATATTAGCCGACCAACACAGATAACCCTGCTAACAACATAAACAACTAATAAACAGCTGATCTTTCCTTACTTTCTGCCACTACATCTAAAAAAAACACAGCTGGGCAATTCATTGCATCTGCAATACAATCTTAATTTAGCTAAACGCAATTTTCAAATCACAGAGGCACTATATTTTGGTGATATTACATTTAACAAGAATAAGTAGCTACATTTCTCCTTCCAACCCTATAGATGGCAATAATATGCTTTAAGTGGGTTTGCAACGACACAGACGGGAAGAGAGATGAAGGAGGTTTGCAGATTCATGCCTGCAACTTAGATAGAAAGTAGCAAAATACATTTACTTGGTTACTGTACTTAAGGACTAATTTGAGTATCTTTAGTTAAGAGATTTTATTGGGGAGAAACTCATAACTTTCCTTCCAATAAAATTACGAGGAACCTGCTAGTTACTCATTCCTTCTGGCTCAGCTTAGCTTTGTAATCCGCTGTTGCTGTTTTTCTTTCTGAAATGCTATTTGAACATGGACACCACTGTTTTAGAGATTTGCATGGCATTCAAAAACTGTGAGAAACTAAAGGCTGATCTTATTTGTAGTCTGTCCATATTATTAAGGAGTTATTTGTGGCCATAGGGCCAGGATGTTCAGTAGGGTGAATTATAGTTTCTTTGTGGTAATAGATTCAATGTTAAACCACTATGCCACATTGAATGTGTGTTATTTTTATATGAGAAATAATCAAAATAGCTGTGCTTATTTTTTTCCCCATTTTTATGCTGAAGTTCATTACAGGTTGGTGTAGAAGCTTTAGCAGGTGGTTCTACGCATTATTAAATCAAGGGATTTCTGAAAGTTACAAGGTTCTTTAAAATCACTCTGAAAATTATGCAGACATATACTGATATTAGAAAATGTTAATTGTATTTTTGAATACCTACAGTAAGTACTTTTAAATGCAGGTACTTTTAAATAATTGAGTATTTTTAAAAGTGATTACTTCAATACTTTCACTTGAGCAGGTTTTTAACTGAGAAACTTTCACATGTAGTTGAATAAGATTCGAGTATTAATACTTTTACTCAAGTACTACTGTTGAGTACTTCGACTACCACTGACTGCAAGTAGAAGTTAGAACTTTTTCCACAAAAGATTGGTTAAGTCACCCAACAATGGACTCTGGACAAGCAAGCTTTCAACATCATGAAAAATCCTAAACCCTTTAGTAAAACATTTATACGATTGTGGTTAGTGAAAAGGAAAGTAATAAATCACAATATTGGTTCAAAAATAATCGCAATATTCCATTTTGGGCTATTTTAACCCCACTTAACCCTAACCCACCTTCTCGTTTGATCCTACTATTACCTACTACGTCATGGGCTAAAAATAGAGGTACCTCAAGAAAAAAAATTTGTGAAATTAAATACCTAGAAGAAAATAACTACCGGTACCTAAACTTATTTTTTCAGATCAAATTTCCAACAATTTTACTCCTAGAATAAAGCATTTTTCTTTTTCTTCTATGAATATGCCAAATTTCATATCTTGAGGTTTGTCAGGATTCGAACTAGAGATGCACAGTGCATGTAAAAATAATTGTCACCCCAGTCCTTATCTGCACCATCACAGAGGACCACTAGGATGCAACATTATGCAGTTTTCAATTTATAGTTTCATACATGCCAAATATGTAGTCTTAATGTAAATTTAGACTGTTTGCTAAACTCACACTGCTCTCAGAGCCCACAATTAATTAATATTTTCTAGCAGCTAAGACAAGTGTCTCAGGAAATGTGATCATCAATTATTCGATTACATTGCCGCAGGCAGAGTTTAGCGAAATCAACTCAAGTTACATGTTTTCTTGATGTCTCCCATCCTAGCTGGAATCTAAAAAATAAACTTTGTGACACTTCCTTTACCCAAACTTCAATGGTTTTTCAGGTTGGAGGAACTTTTTGTCCCACCTATTTAACTCAGTATATGCCTTAAACTAATAAGCAGTCTAATTTGTGGAACGCTTTCCTGCTAGACATAAAGATTTGATTCTTTTGGATAAAATAGCAAAACTTTCACATAAAAAAAAAAATCTAAGAGCACTGAATCATACATAATTATATTGATACTTGAACAAATGTCAACTTTTTTTTTTTGTAAAAAAAAATGTACATTTACTTGTTTAATAGAAACGGTCAAAAAAGATTTTGAAGTTCTTATCTGAATAGGGTATACCTGGAAAGCTAAGAAACTATGCATCTTGTTTTCAAGCAACCAAATGAGGAAACAAAGAAGAAGAGAATGCAAACTTAGTTATCAGCAGCACTCCTACACATGCACAGCTTCTTGGCTGAATGGCTTGCAAAACCACTGAGTGGAACAATGCATTATACAAATATCCTTCGCAGAGAATTTTAAACCGTTATCTCATTAGCGTTGTAATACGGGAAGGCTGGCTGAATACTGCAGGGACATTAATGTGAGCGGAGAGGTTCGACACGAGAGTGAGCAAAAAGTTAATTAGCACATCCTCTTTCTGAACTACAACCTTTGTTTTTTTTCTGCTTTAACAAAGTCTGTGTTTAAAGTACTGCACATTTAGGTCAGTCTTAGCATCATGCAGGGTTGTTTTATTGGTCTGGGAGTATGGACAAGAAAAGTTATCTCTGTGGTTTGAAACAAAAACGTCCAAATAAAAAGCTTCTAGCAGTTTGAGTGTAAGAAGCCAAAAAAAAAAAAAAAAAAAAGACCAGAAACTGCAACTGAACAGGGCCAACGAATAAACCATAAACCAACACTACAGCACACCATGTAATCTGATGAGCAGTAATGGCTCGGACACCTCTGTAAGCACAGCGGTTTCTCTCATGGGTGGTCATTAAGCAACTTTCAGTACACTAGGAGAAAAAAAAAAATCCAATCGGAGCAAATTAAAATAATTTTCCCAGGGACGACAAGCCTTCCATTAAGTACATGCAGCAGAGGTTAGCCACATGACTCACTGTTGCATTTTAAAATCACATGAACATTACTGATGAATGACATCTATATCAGCTCCAGGATATTTATGTAGTTGTTCATTAGTCTGAATTGCTGCTTGGTACCACCTTACACACACTTTATTTTTCTTTTCTAGCTGAAAAAACTTGATGTTATGAAACATTCTTACTAATCTTATTGTTTTCCAAGGTAACACATTTTTTCCCCATCAACTTAAAAAAAAAATGCCACAGTGCCACTAGAAGTATTCAACTATAAATTTGAATTATGCTGGTTGCATGACAGCCGTAAGGGACAGCATGGAGATTATTGCCTGCTTCATGCAGCAACTTGCACACTGAGTTCCTATTCCTCCTAAAAGCCTCATTAAATATTAGCTTCTCTTGCTACAATGTAAACACAATTTCACCTTTACTTTTAGTCGGCCTAGGCACCACTCAAGTTTTTTTATGCCGTTTTTATTACAAAGCATTTTTTGTTACTAATCAGAATACATTTGACTATTTTTGCATGTCATTTGACAGTCAGAGTAGGAGTACTTTTTTAAACAACTTCCCAGAAAGATAAGAAGTCCTAAGCCAACACAAAACTTATCATCTAAAATGTTGCTTGCATCACAGTAAGTAAAAAAAAAAAAAAAGAAAAGAAAAAAAAAAAAGCAGCCTGTCTAACTGGAGCCTGCATGGAGGCCCTCTCAGTACTCTAAAATGGCATGTCCTGAATTTATTACAGCGGGTGTTGCATTATTCATAACAACCGTGTTTACATCAATGAATATTCATGGTGAAAGTACAAGGCTAGAATGAGGGTGGAACTATGAAACTGATTAAACTAGAAAAGTAGCTTTAGTTTGAGGGAAACATTCAATTCTCAGCTACTATTTCTAAAGCCTGATCTAATACAAGCCTTTTTCCCT